GAGCATGGCTCCATTGATGAAAAACAGGGCTCCAGTAAAGGTAAACAAGGCTCCTAGCAGGCCCTAGTAATGTGGAGCATGGCTCCACTGAAGGTGAACATGGCTTCATTATAGTAAACATTGCCTTAGTAATGCGGAGCATGGCTCCATTGATGAAAAACAGGGCTCCAGTAAAGGTAAACAAGGCCCTAGCAATGGGGAGCATGGCTCCATTAAAGGTACACTCTCCGTAGCAAGGTGAACATGACTCCTTTATAGGGACTAATCTCCATTGAAGTCAAATGTGACTCCATTAAAGGGGAAAATGGTCCAAGTAAAGGCTAACCTGACCCCAGTCAGTAAAAGTGAACATGACTCCATAAGAGGCTCCATCTAGGGTGAACACTACTTCATCAAGGATGATGGGCTCCAATAAAGGTGACCTCAGCTCCATTACTGACACTAGGTGTGCACATGGCTTTATCAGGATTTGAAGTTTGAGACTCTTCAAAACTTATTGATTGCATATTGATAATGAGTGTTTAATCATTTGAACATCAAAGGGATAATCCAGAACAAATTTGATATCCAACAGAACATTTCACCTCAATCAATTCTGGACACAACCGATCAATGCATTATCACAGGGAGGCTGATCAATCATCAACTGATCAATGACTGGAACATAACTAACCCAAGCAGTAAACTGCAAGGAAGGCTGGAGATCCTCATGGTTTCGTTTTTGTATTTTAATCAAAGGACTTCATAATTCTCTACTCCATGTTAAGGGGATGCAACCAGGGCTGGTCGGCTTGTAGTTACAGCAGTCACTGTATGCTCACGATGTCGGAGTGGGGTATCCATGTTATGCTGCTTGTATCTCTACATGAACCTGACAGACGTCTGAACTACTACCAGCAGACACACTCAGATACATATATATATATATATATACAGACACAGAAACAGACACAGACAGGGACACAAACACAGGTAGGGACACAGACACAGGTAGAGACACAGACACAGGTAGAGGCACAGGTAGAGACACAGACACAGGTAGAGACACAGGCACAGGTAGAGACACAGACACAGGTAGAGACACAGGCACAGGCACGGGTGGAAACACAGGCAGAGGTAGAGACAGACACAGGTAGAGACACAGACACACAAAAAGACACAGGCACAGGTAGAGACACAAACACAAGTAGAGACACAGGCACAGGTAGAGACACAAACACAGGTAGAGACACAAACACAGGTAGAGACATAGGCACAGGTAGAGACATAGGCACAGGTAGAGACACAAACACAGGTAGAGACACAGACACAGGTAGAAACACAGGCATTTACACAGACACAGGTAGAGACACAGACACAGGTTTAGAACACTATGAACACAGGTGTAGAGACACAGACACAGGTAGAGACACAGAGAGACATAAACACAGGTGAGACACAGATACACAGTAGAGACACAGACACAGGTAGAGACACAGGTACAGGTAGAGACACAAACACATGTAGAGACTGAGACACAGGTAGAGACACAGACACAGGTAGAGACACAGACACAGGTAGAAACACAGCTACATGAAGAAACAGAACAGACAGAGACACAGTAGAGACACAGACACAATACAGAGACACAGACACAGGTAGAGACACAGACACAGACACAGACACAGACACAGGTAGAGACACCCCACTGTGTAGACACACAGACACAGGTACAGAGACACAGACACAGGTAGAGACACAGACACAGACACACAGACACAGAGAAACAGAGACACAGACACAAGTAGAGACACAGACACAGGTAGAGACACAGACACAGGTAGAGACACAGACACAGGTAGAGACACAGACACAAGTAGAGACACAGACACAGGTAGAGACACAGGCACAGGTAGAGACACAGACACAGGTAGAGACACAGACACAGGTAGAGACACAGACACAAGTAGAGACACAGACACAGGTAGAGACACAGACACAGGTAGAGACACAGACACAGGTAGAGACACAGACACAGTAGAGACACAGACACAGGTAGAGACACAGACACACCCAGTAGAGACACAGACACAGGTAGAGACACAGACACAGGTAGAGACACAGACACAGGTAGAGACACAGACACAGGTAGAGACACAGACACAGGTAGAGACACAGACACATGTAGAGACACAGACACAGGTAGAGACACAGACACAGGTAGAGAGACACAGACACAGGTAGAGACACAGACACAGGTAGAGACACAGACACAGGTAGAGACACAGACACAGGTAGAGACACAGAGACACAGGTAGAGACACAGACACAGGTAGAGACACAGACACAGGTAGAGACACACACAGTAGACACAGGACACAGACACACACAGACACAGACACAGTAGAGACACAGACACAGGTAGAGACACAGACACAGGTAGAGACACAGACACAGGTAGAGACACAGACACAGGTAGAGACACAGACACAGGTAGAGACACAGACACAGGCAGAGACACAGACACAGGTAGAGACACAGACACAGGTAGAGACACAGACACAGGTAGAGACACAGACACAGGACACAGAGAGACACAGACACAGGTAGAGACACAGACACAGGTAGAAACACAGACACAGGTGGAGACACAGGTAGAGACACAGACACAGGTAGAGACACAGACACAGGTAGAGACACAGACACAGGTGGGAGAGACACAGACACAGGTAGAGACACAGACACAGACACAGACACAGGTAGAGACACAGACACAGGTAGAGACACAGACACAGGTAGAGACACAGACACAGGTAGAGACACAGACACAGGTAGAGACACAGACACAGGTAGAGACACAGACACAGGTAGAGACACAGACACAGGTGGAGACACAGACACAGGTAGAGACACAGACACAGGTAGAGACACAGACACAGGTAGAGAGGAAACAGGCACACATAGAAAACACAGCACAGGTAGACATGAAGAGACACAGGTAGAGACAGATAGAGACAGACACAGGTAGAGACACAGATAAAGACAGATACAGGTTGAGACACAGAGAAACACACAGACACAGGTACAGACACAGGTAGAAACACAGACTCAAGACACAGGTACAGACAAAGGCAGAGACACCAGTACAGACCAACAAACACATACATATCTGTACAAGTGCAATAACCTTGAATGTGAGGTTCAAGTGTATCTGTAACAGTAAGTCAAGGTCTTCAGGTACACCTGTTGAAGTAACAAAGTCATGCCCATCTCAGTGATGGAAGCAAGGAACAGAACTCTGTCATTCCTGATAACATGCTATGAGATTTATACACATGTTCTGTGGAAGGTGGGAAGGTAAAGCAAGCCATGGTAGCTGTTTAAGATGTTACTGCGAAACTTATACGAGGTTTGAAAACTGAAACCAAACATACATCAGGACATCTGTAGGAGCACCATGTGTTGTACTGTAAGTGTAAATCTGAGATCAATGTAAATCTACATCCGTGGATCTGTCACCAGTGTTTGCCATGATGCAGAAAACCTGCGTATTTGACATACAAATTATCTCAAATAGGCAGTGAATTTAGAAGCTTGCGCCATTGTTGATGCAATGCTACTGGGCCCTTAGTTCATATAATCTAAACTTGTAATATGCTGTTGTTTAAAACTTAGTTTACTGTTTCCCAGTTAATTGCTCAGTGCTGTTTAAATACCTGACCTGCCTTATTTATTTTTTTTGTCGTTATTAAACAATCACAGTTGATGTCTTGATGAAAGTTCCAAACTGAAGTTGACTCCCCAAAACATGTCCATGACTCCTAAATTTTTATGCCTAGGGCAAACAATGACCTGTGACAGCCCTAGAAGGGGCCCTGATGGGGTTTACAAATCATCAATTAACAGCTATAAACCCTTTATTAAGCATAAGATCAATCTAAATTTTATTGTAAAAGTTTACAATCAAACTATGATGAAATATTTCCCTAAGAAATTACTGCTTATCATGAAAGTTGAAAATGCCAAGCTATAAAAAGCCCATGTTCTTCATCCCTCTTTCTCTAGATGATTCATTGTTGCTAAAACCTTTAGATAGTAGCTTTTTGCATGGTATAAGACAAAATTGCATAGTACAAGACAAACTTTAAAATCATTTGTAAGTCTTGACATGTTCAACTACTTCCTTAATAAATACAATGTCAAAACAAACTTTTCTCCTAATGATGATGATGATGATAGGATATTTATATAGCGCACATATCCAGGCAACTAGTGCTTGCTCAAGGCGCTGGTATTTTCCGCTCGATCATTGGATGTCAATCTCAACGGCACATCGTATTATCAATCTCAACTCCCTGGGAAGTATACAACTCTTGCAGCCACTAGGCGCACTGAGTTATTGTGGCTTTCTCATCCTAACGAGGTACCCATTCACAGCTGGGTGGACTGGGACACATAGTCACAGTACTTTGTCCAAGTTTACTGCACGTTGCTGTACCTGCAACTAGGTGTTTGCACGTATTCATGTGGCCACCATCTGGTCATATACCAACGGATTCGTGGGTTCTTTTAAGTGCACAGGGTTGTGTACTGTACACTAGGGGTTGTGACAACACTGAAAGAGTCTGCACACAAAGTTGACTCAAAGGTTTTTACACCCTGTCACAGGTGGGCTCGATCCCGACACCTCGGCCTCAATGGATCACTAGCCTGGCACCTTAGCCAGCTCGCCCACCGTGCCCCACAAACAACACATAATATGTAAACCTTTTATTGTTTACTGACTGAAGACCCCTTAGAGACTTCCCTATTAGGAGGCGGTGGTGTAGCCTAGTGGTTAAAGCTTTGGCTCGTCACGCCGAAGACCCGGGTTCGAATTCCCACATGGGCACAATGTGTGAAGCCCATTTTGGTGTCCCCCACCGTGATGTTGCTGGAATATTGCTACAAGTGGCGTAAAAACCAAACTCAGTCAGTCAGTCAGCAACATCAGGACTCTCAGTGAATACGAAGTATCTTACCGCTAGACAGTCGTGACTGGGAGTGGTGACTGCCCAATGAATGGCGGCGCGCCCATGGGTATCCTGTATACTGACATAGCCCCCATAGTCCAGCATGAGACTCAGGGCCGATATGTTGGCGTCATGGCACGCCTGGTGCATGGCAGTAGAACCATCTGAAAGCAAACAATCACTGGTTAGGACACAGGTATTTTACATGTTTTTTCATCTCAATCTGGATTCAATTGTTTGTTTGTTTGTTTGTTTGTTTGTTTGCACAGAAATATTCGCTGCTATTGAGGGGAAAGAAATATTCTAGCTATATAGTAGATATGACTAGGTGCAACCTTAGGGGGAAACCACTATTGTGTTTTTATAGCAATATGTAATATCAGAAATATGCTATTGAATTATTTGGATGTTCTATTCAGAAGTTTACCCCAACCATTGCAATAAATAAAGAGATATTGAGACCTGCAAGTAACAGTCAAACGAGTGTTGTGCGACCAACCATTGCAACTTCAAACAGTGTTGTCTCGTACTTTGCTTAGTCAAAGTTTTCTCAAAGGTATCTTCCAGTCTAAAACCATTTATTTACAGTATAAACTTTCTGTGATAATCTGACATCAGCAAGACTCGTCGGTCACCACAGTTCAATCAGCAATGCATAACCAACTGGAAATCTCCACATGCATGGAGTTCAGCCTGGCAAAGGCCAATTGTCTTGTTAGTTACAGTCAGTCACACCAAGCTTTAACAAAATGTTTAACTGACGTGTCTATCAGGGATTAACAGGTCATTTAAACAAGTGAATGAGTGACTTTAGTTTTACGCCGCACTCAGCAATATTCCAGCTATATGGCAGCGGTCTGTAAATAATCGAGTCTGGACCAGACAATCCAGTGATCAACAGCATAAGTATCGATCTGCACAATCGGGAACCGATGACATCTGTCAACCAAGTCAGCGAGCCGGACCATCCGATCCTGTTAGTCGCCTCTTATGACAAGCATGGGTTACTGAAGATCAATATTCTAACCCGGACCTTCACGGGTTCATTTAATCAAGATCAAGTGAAGAGTGAGTGAGTGAGTTTAGTTTGGACCAGAGTCTGGACCAGAAAATCCAGTGATCAACATCATGAGCATCAGTCTACCAAGTGAAGAAGAAGTGTATGGATTCATGTTTTGCTTGTTTATCTGTAAATAGTCAAGTCTGGACTAAACAATCCAGTGATCAACAGCATGAGCATCATTATACCCAACTAGGATATTGACATGTGTCAATCAAGTCAACAAGACTGACCACCCAATCCTGTTAATCGCCTCTTACGACAAGCATGGGTTGCTGATCAATTCTAACCCGGATCTTCACAGGTAGAAAGGAGTCACATGTTTATCTTGGTATTACAAATTGTGCAATGTGCGACTGACTGGCATTCATGTTGATGTTTCACAAGAGTAAAAAATGATGGATTGAGACTGAAATTAATCAGCAGGGTTAGTCAAACTTTACTGAGCAATCTATAATCTCACAGTCCCTGAACCGCATTTTCCCTTCCACTCAGCCCGATCAGCAATGCTTAAGTCCTGACTGAAGCAAGCCTAAATATCATCAGGTTCAGAGTTCTGAATTTCCCAGCTCAGTTCCTTTTCAATTTAAGAGGAATTAAGTGTATCTACCAAATATATATTAAGAGACTATGCGTTAGCCAAAGCAATCTAGTGAAGGGCCAGATTTTACTGAGGGATATCTCGATCAGATGTTCCTACACCCTAAAAAGGTAAATTTATTGTAAAATCGATTGAGATTGGTAAGAAGCAGTGATGGCAGTTGAGCAGGGTTCTAAAACTAAATCACAAGATTTACAGAGTTATTTTTGGCTAAGTTGAACATTAATGTAAGTTGTTCCAACTTGAGCTCACCAGGGTGTGTAAGAAAGTATGATACTTTATGGATATTAACTTCTTTATTACATTATGATAACTTTCTTATTATTCACCAACTTCTAAAATGCCATCAAACAGATCAACAGGGTTTGTATATTAAAGAACATACCATGTGCAGTTAGGTTGACATCCGCCCGCTGTTCTAGCAGAAGGTTGACCGCCTGGGGATGGTCAAAATGGACAGCGTAGGTCAGCGCCGTCCGACCGATACCGTCCTGGTCATTCACGAAGGCAGGATCTGAACAGAGGCAATTAAACATCATGAATAAGTAAGAGGTGAAGAATTCCTGCTTATTTGAAAAAAACAATTTTGTAAAATACTCTAAAGCTGCTTTCTTCAAATACGCACACCTTGAATCCAAATAACTAAATATATCCCATGAAAATAATATGGTCTTATGACACCAGAATGACAAACGAACACTTTAACCACTAGGCTGCCCCACCTCCCCACTGATATAAGTGACAAGTGACACACTTGGGGAATCACATGGCAAGAAATCACCTAAAACATCATTAGAAACATATTTAATAAAGGCTCACTCGCTGGTCCAAAAATACCATTAGGACAGACCTAAGGGAGCAAAAAACACCTTGTATACCATACCCAAATAAAATGATCAATGACCAAAATGAATAACAGCATGTCAGTATGTACTCAATGACTCAAGCTTATATCTGGAACAATAAACCAAGTTGTAGAGTCACACCACCCAATTCATTAGATCAGTCCTTAACACAAGCAAGGGTTGCTGGGGACCGATATTCTTATCCAAATATTCTCCTCGATAACTAGTTGATGGTCATCATGTTGAACACTACACAAAAGTATGATCATGGGGCTTTAGTCAAGATTTCTTTATCTTTTCCAAGACAGGTATTTATTTTTATTTCTAAATGAACTGATCTAACTGTCCAAAGAAAGAGGGCAGGTAAGTTAGCCTAGTGGTTAAATCCTTCGCTTTGTCAAGCTGAAGACCCGGGTTTGATTCCCCACAAGGGCACAATGTGTGAAGCATATTTCTGGTGTCTCCCGCCATGATATTGCTGGAATATTGCTAGAAGCAAAACTAAACTCACTCACTAAACTCTAGTGTTGGGAATTGGTGTAAATCTCATAATTGATGATTGGTTCATTACAACCGATCAATCATCGAAAATAATTGGTTAGCGTCATTTATCAAATTTTCCTGGTTATGTTTGTTAATGCACAAAAAATACAGAAAAAACGTGTAGTTCTCCCGGGTTTTTTCGCAAATTGCACAAAATGCATTTGCAAATTTCACATCTTTAAAGGATGACTAGTGTGTTAGGAACATACATTTCCTGGAGTTGTTAAGATAAACTTAATCATGACTTGAAACGAGCTTGGAGTGCTTATGCAATGTCGAGACAAATCAACCTTTTGAAATATATTGTTATTGCAAACAAGTGGTCCAAAATTGTTTGTGTTTGATTATGAGAAAACATGATCGATTGCTTGGTCGTTTTGTCATTGCGACCAATCTTCAATTATTTCAATTAATCGGAACACCACTACTAAACTCACTGACTCCAAAGAAAGAAGAATGAAGATCTCTGTGCAATGATAGACTAAATAATGAAATCAATCATTTAGTTAACAGTCTTATGTTCTATCTATGTACCATAGTACATTTAACAATAATATATTCCAAATTCATTTCACAAAGAATTCTATGGTATATACATGTATATGGATAACTTGAACAAGGACCAATGAAGAGGAAGAGGTTACAATGCTAAAATCATTGCTAATATTTATTTTTACTCACCCGTTGAAGATATCAGTTTAATAATTTTACTATGTTATTACACATTGTGTAATAACATCGCGTGATGCCGTCCGTATGACGTCAAAGTGGTTTACAGTTATGACGTCACAATGCTAATACCTCTGTCACAATAGTATTAGACCTTGCTTGACTCGCAGAAAGCTGAGAGTCATCACACTCGTTGAATTCTTAGGAAAGAAGTACTTTTCTCGATATTATTTTGCTAATGTTGGGTGAGTAATAGAGATAATACTAAACTATGCCCTGTGTAATACAGTAGAACATGGTTATAGCGAACACGGATATAGCGTACAAACGGATATAGCAAACAAATTTAAAAGTCCCGTCAACAGTCCTTTATAATATTATTAAAATTATACATGAATAACGAACTCGTGAGTAGCGAATTAATGGCTATAGCGAACTGATTTACTACCCCCAAGACCCAATTAACGACGTGATTAGCGAACTCACTCAGTGTCAGCTCAGCCACTTAGCGGTACAGTATACATCAATCTTGTTGGCGGTGAATCAACATTGATTGATGGTCATTAATTAATTAAGAAAACAAACATATCGTGTTTAACCCATTCAACAACCGTTTTCGTTGACGAGGACGGTATCCATTGCCGTAGTATGATTGTCTGCCTTAGGTCACGTGTCTGATTTTGACCAATCACGATCCTTATAGCAGACTGTGGCTAAAAAAGCGTCATTAGAAACCAATCTTTATCAATAAAATGCGCTTTTACAACTGTGAAAATACTCGGCAAGGGTACAGTACATATTGTTGATGTTCCAGAGCTGTCGAGCGATACCAGACACCACCGCGATTAAGCCTGCGCATGTTATTCATACTGAAGCTTCAAAGCGGAGGTATTTCCGTTGTTGTGTCATGTTAAGCGAATGGAAAGCCTGATTACATAAAATGAAAATATAAAATAAAAGGCGCGGGCATGTTATGACATGTCACAAATGGAAAAGAAATCTCTACAGTATTTGCTTCTTTCGTGGTTTATCTGGACATTATAAATGTAAGCTTGCATTTTCATTAAAAAAATAAATTTATTTAGTTGTAGTTGTATTATTTCAATTTTATTATAAAATAAACTTCATATTTATCAACATGATATAGGTAATGTCTGTGAATGTCTACATCTCTACAATCCAAGATGGCGGTCAAATGTGAATAACGAACAACGGATATAGCGAACTAAATTTCTTGGTCCCTTGGAGTTCGTTATATCCGTGTTCTACTGTACCATATTTATGAAAAATCGTGAATGGTATTGGTATCTAACTTGCTTTCGCTCATTAGATACCAAACCATTCACTCGTTTCATAAATATGGTATTACACGGGACATCGTTTAGTATTCTCTATGTCTGTCTCACAGTCCCTTAACCACATTATTTTCCCTCCCTCCCTACCACCCAGCCCTTTCTGCAATGCAAAGACAAAATGAAGCAAGTCTAGATTTTGTCATGCTCAGCAATAATCGAAATCACAGGGGCTCCTTTTCAATTTAAATGAAGCTATATGTTTCTACCAAAAGTATATATTTTCAGAGAGAAGCATTAGTCTGCCTAACATCTATACATGTGATAAGATCTGTCACACCTTTCAACCAGTGGTGGGCGGTGGGATAGTCTAGTGGTTAGTCTCGTCACGCCGAAGACCCGGGTTCGAATCCTCACATGGGTACAATGAGTGAAGCCCATTTCTGGTGTCCCCACCGTGATAGTGCTGGAATATTGCTAAAAGCGGCGTAAAACCAAACTCAGTCAGTCAGTCAGTCAACCAGTGGTGATGGACTCTTTCACACAAAGTACAAGTTATCTACAAATCTGGCTGCTGACATGCTCACAGGATGGGACTGATATTCATCTCATCAGGTCTAGTGATTCATGTCTAAAACTAACACAACTGATTGTAGTCATATGTCATCATGTGATTATTGGGAAACAGCTCTTGTTTATATTTGAAAGACAACAACTATTCCTTGAATTTTTAAAGACAAGAAAGAAGGAGAGAAACTAATCTGAGTTTGGAGCTTTTAGCAATAAACTAATACCCATGGGGATTGAACCCGGGTTGTGACGAAAGACAAGAAAGAAGGAGAGAAACTAATATATAATTGTCTGAAAAATTCATGAAAACTGGAAGTACCTATATGTTTTGAGGGAATTTACTGTATCAGAGGAGCAATTTCGTAAAAATGAAGAGTATTTAAATAAGTTCAAAGTGACTGATGGATTTCCTTCAGTGATGGAAAGTCAGAGATAATTTCAGAAATTCGGACACATACGCTTTTTGACACTTGTTGTCTGACCCACTTAAACTCCAATTAGATAGGGCTGGCGCACAACATAGATAATACAGATGAATGATATTCACAACATAGTGATCAACAATCAATAAATATCTGAGCAGTAACTGATTGATTGATGTTTAATGCCCCACTCAGCACCGTTCCAGCTTTACATGGAAGCAGTCTGTAAATAATCGAGTCTGGACCAGACAATCAAGTGATCGACAGCATGAGCATCGTTCTACACAATTGGGAAATTATGACGTGTGTCAAACAAGTCAGTGAGCCTGACCACCCGATCCCGTTAGTCACCTCTTACGACAAGCATGGATTACTGAAGGCAAATTCTAACACGGATTGTCACAAGTCCAGCAGTAACTGAGCAACAATGAATACATCCACCTTGTTACACATACTGTACAGTACAAACCTTATTGCACACATTGTACAGTACACCACCTTGTTACACACACTGTACAGTACACCACCTTGTTACACACACTGTACAGTACACCACCTTGTTACACACACTGTACAGTACACCACCTTGTTACACACACTGTACAGTACACCACCTTGTTACACACACTGTACAGTACACCACCTTGTTACACACAGTACACACCTCATTCCACGCTGGTGAAGCACACACTGTACAGTACACCACCTTGTTACACATACACCACCTGTTACACACACTGTACAGTACACCACCTTATTCACACCTGTGTACAAACACACACTGTACAGTACACACCTTGTTACACACACTGTACAGTACACCACCTTATTACACACACTGTACAGTACACACACCTTGTTACACATACTGTACAGTACACCACCTTGTTTACACACACCTGTACACACTGTACAGTACACCACCTTGTTACACATACTGTACTGTACAGTACACCACCTTGTTACACACACTGTACAGTACACCACCTTACACACACACTGTACAGTACATTACACCTGTGTTACACCACATTGTACTGTAGTACACCACCTTGTTACACACACTGTACAGTACACCACCTTGTTGCCGCATTACACATACTGTGTACAGTACAGTACACCTTGTTACACATACTGTACAGTTACACCACTCCATTACACACACACTGTACAGTACACCTTGTTACACACACTGTACAGTACAGTACACCTACACACACTGTACAGTACACCACCTTGTTACACACTACTGTGTTACACACACTGTACAGTACACCACCTTGTTACACACACTGTACAGTACAAACCTCATTCCACACACTGTACAGTACACCACCTCATTACACACACTGTACAGTACACCACCTTGTTACACACTGTACAGTACAAACCTCCACCTTGTTACACCACACATACTGTACAGTACACCACCTCATTACACACACTGTACAGTACACCTTGTTACACACACTGTACAGTACAAACCTCTGTACAGTACACATACTGTACAGTACACCACCTTGTTTACTGTACAGTACACCACCTGTTACACACACTGTACAGTACACCACCTTGTTACACACTGTACTGTACAAATACACTGTACAGTTACACACACTGTACAGTACACCACCTCAGTTACACACACTGTACAGTACACCACCTTGTGTTACACACACTGTACAGTACACCACCTTGTTACACATACTGTGTACACCTCATACAACACCTGTACAGTTCACACATACATTGTACTGTACAGTACAAACCTCATTGCACACACTGTACAGTAAACCACCACACACTGTACAGTACACCCTTGTTACACACACACCACTGTACACTGTACACCCTTGTTACACCACCTTGTTACACTGTACAGTACACCACCTTGTTACACACTGTACACATTACTGTACACTGTACAGTACACCACCTTGTTACACACTGTACAGTACACCACCTTGTTACACATACTGTACAGTACACCACCTTGTTACACATACTGTACAGTACACCACCTTGTTACACATACTGTACAGTACACCACCTTGTTACACACACTGTACAGTACACCTTGTTACACACACTGTACAGTACCACCTTTTACACACACTGTACAGTACACCACCTTGTTACACATACTGTACAGTACACCACCTTGTTACACACACTGTACAGTACACCACCTTGTTACACATACTGTACAGTACACCACCTTGTTACACATACTGTACAGTACACCACCTTGTTACACTTGTTACCACAATGTTACTGTTACACACACTGTACAGTACCCCACCTTGTTACACACACTGTACAGTACACCACCTTGTTACACACACTGTACAGTACACCACCTTGTTACACACACTGTACGGTTACACCTGTACCTTATACACACTGTACAGTACACACCACCTTCTTACAAATACTGTACAGTACCCCACCTTGTTACACACACTGTACACCCCACTACCTTGTTACACACACTGTACACCCCACCACCTTGTTACACATAATGTACAGTTCATACCCTTGTTAAAACTATGGTACACCGCCTTGCAACACTTGTACAATGCATTGATCATCTATCAGCAAACGAACTCACTTTGTTGAACAAGCTGCTCAATCTCCTGCAAGTCCCCATCCATGGCAGCCTGAATGGCTGGAGGTAGTCTCACAAAGTTCATACTGTCCTCCACACTCATGGTAGAAGCCAGTCGCGTAAAGCTATCCATACTCAACCATTTCCACTGAAACTTGTCGGGGGTATCTACAAACGGGGTCATGGGGCTCAGCCCTCTTGCCGTCACCTGTAAAGTATTTTGAGAGTTCTTCTCATGCGAACGCGATTGTAATATCCGATAGTATTTCTGCATGTGCAGTAACGCCAGGTTGAGCGTGTCCCGTAATTCTGCACATTCCCCATCTTCGTTTAGTTTGAGCAAAAACTCATGAATAAAGGCTGCTGCCTTTTGAAATCTGAAAAAAAGTTGATAAATGATTATCTTCCATGCTACAATGGTTACATTGCGGAGAAATCAGAGAGTTGTCAAAATTAAGACTCCTGGAGCCACGGATGTCTTCTATGGCATTTGAAGATATTTGTTTTGTTTGTTGTTTAATGTCACACACTCAGCAGTTTTCCAGCTATATGACGGCAGTCTGTAAATAATCAAGTCTGGACCACACAATCCAGTGATTGATACCACGGCCATCGGTCTATGCAATTCGCAATATGATCTATGGGATACAATGACGTGTGTCAATCAAGTCAGCGACCTGCCCACCCGATCCCGTTTGTTGTCTCTTACAACAAGCATGGGTTGATGAAGACCAATTCTAAACTTGCAGAGAAGATAGGGGCTCCCTAAATCTGTAACATTCAACGTCAGGGTCATAACTATGATAACATGCTTTCAAGGTTAATTTCCAAATACTAACATCTCTTAATATTACAATATAGATTATTACTTTCAAACATTTACCAATACAACTAAAGAATCTATTATAAAATAATATGTCCACATACTTTAAAAGAAATCTACCCAAGAAATTAAGTCTATGAAAATATGTCACTAACATAACAATTTGTCATAATTGGATATGGAAGGGTTTATAAATCAGGGAAATGGTCTTTTGAGAGTTAGGATTGTTTGTTACCTATGGTTGTTACTACCAGGAAGACATGTTTGTCTTGTAAAGATAATGAAGTTTGTTTCAGCTAATGGTTAAATTACATTGTTTACAATAAAATAAACAATATATAACTCAAACCAATGTGCTAATTATGTACATGCATAACAGTTGACAATTTAACATTGTCATGCAACATGGATATTCATACTAAACCAGTTAAGAAATATATGCGGTTTGGATAAAAATTATTTTACAATTATAGCAAACAGTTATTGAAATGGGACCTAATGTTATGAAAAAGCAGATAAGATTTAGGCAAGAAGAAAAAAATGAATTGATTTTTTTTATTTTATAAAATGAACATACTTCATTTGGGTGGTAAGCCTCTGTCAGATTTCCATTTTTCATATAGGGTATTTCATGAGGCAATGAATATCTAACATATCTTCAATTTATAACATGCTCGCAAAAACTTATTGATGTTATATTCATTTGCAATCCCTTATGACCAAAAATACTATGAATACACTATGTTTCAAAATGAAACTTGTACAGGCTGATATATTACATGTTACTGTAATAAGACATTTGATGACATGTCGATCACGTTCAAAATTTAGATTTTCGACTTATGAGAACATTTTACAACCCAATCAGGACCTCTCGCGATATAGTTGATATAGTTACCAGGGGAACACGCGCCTCTTCCACGACCAATAATAATTGAACTAACGACTCAAAACCAACTTGATGTCAGACAACACATTCTGCTTTGATTGCACTATATCAGCTTAATCAAACAGGTGCATGTCATCGATGGACAATCAGTGATTTTTGGAAAAAATGACATGCAACAACTTGTTTGTTCTCCACATGGCCACAATTTCGGAACACGAATCCGAGAATATAAAAACTGTCAGGACATATATAACGCCTTAAAATAATTCACATCTGTTATTTGATAACATGCACTAAACACGTATGGTCATTATTTTACTCTTCGCGATTTATTTGTTGCAGTATTTTGCAGGGAAACGATGTAAACAAACCGCTATCACTCACCTTTCCGTTTTATCACCATCCTCGTTCACATGTCTCCGCTTAGGGCGAAATAATTCTAAAGTCAAAACGAACCCCATTTCTTTCTACATGTTCTCAAATATCCAATAATAGTATACTGTCCTCTTATTTGATGCATCCCCAAACCATAATTCATGTTGTCATCTAAATTTTAACTATGAACTTGGCGGCCATTATTACCCACAGTTCCATTATTGTCAATCACATATATACTATTTACCCGACCGCTACCTTTTACAGCATAACAGGTGCCCTTGACATAATATCATAAGTATGTTTCTTTTCGGAATCAATGTAATTCAAGCCCAACTATCATCCATTTTTAATTCCATCAAAATAAAAAGCTATGACGCTGTTGTTAATGTTTTTTACCAAAAGATCAAATCCATGGTTGACACAATTAATAAAATTTTGCAAACAGGTGTGTAAATTGTATACGAATCTAATTTAATAAAGGAGGCGAATCATTAACCTGTTTTCTTTGCTAAATATGCGGTGCGGAACAAAATCACGTGGGCATTCTATTAGATCATCATCACAACGAGATAGGATTACGTAATACTGATGTCAGTTGATCAATACTTGTCGCCTCGGGTGTATCATACAAATTGCCATTTATTGGACGCGTGCTTGGCGGGAAGGTATCCCATAGCTATCTGATGTGCTGAGAAGTTCATACCATGGATAATATTGAAATAAAACAGGGACCAGTATTTTATGGGTTTACCTAGATATCAAATTTACGTATGTCAGAAATTATTAATGTTACAAAACTAATTTCGGTAATAAATCTATTCGGAAGATTCATTTACATGAACATGTTTTCGCTTTTGTGCGACTGTTTTAGAGTTGATAGTTAAAAAGATAAGGTAAAAATATTATTTTAATATTTTAAAATACATATATACGATATTTCACAGTTGTTGGTTTTAACGTCGAAAATATAATATAAAGACTAGATTTTTTTACCATCATCAGATATGTGCAAGGTTATATCTCCAACATTACACTTTGGTTCTGTCTTTTTTTTTCGTATATCAGTTCAATATGTTTGTAAAAAGACAAAGAATTGATATGTGACGCGGCATTCAAAGCACATTCCTTCCTCTTTCTCTTCCTTTCGCCCATTCATTCATTTTCAAACAAGTATGAATATTGTACCTGATACATGCCCTGTTCAAAAACACACACTTTACATTTCCACTACAGTTTGCAACAAGTTCTTGCTCTCCCTTAAAAATTCAAGATCGTATTTCTTAATGTCCCAACTTCATTCATGTTTGAAAGTTTCTGTTCTTAAATTTATGTCTTTAATGTAATATCCCAACTATTTACACATGTATCATTACTATTTATTTTGTCGTTCTGTTATATATATATTTGTTGTTTTATAATCACTTTTCTACTTCTACTGCACTTATTGACATTCGAGCCTTTAGAATAGTTGTGTTCCCGGTACTATATAGTCAAAGAAATTGTAATTGGCAAATAAGCATCTAAAAATTAACGCATGAAACTTGTTTTTAATTTAATGCAATTGCAAAGTTAAAGTGTTTATATTTTAGGGCTGAAGCGTATTTATAACTTGCTGAAACCAAATAATTAAGGGCTTTGTAACCGCGAAGAAAATAGTCCCGAGACTATTCACTGTTGATACGGAAATGGAATTCATACGCCCTTCGTAACGGCCGCCATCTTTCTTTGCTAATTTTGACATAGGGGCTCACTTCAGAAATCTGTCATCATCGGGACTTCTAAGGGATAAAAACATCTTAAATTCCAACACATCGATAGGCGAAGTCTTTGTGATGGCAGATACAGACAAATTAAATATTGATAGCATCATAGCACGGCTTTTAGAAGGTGAGTAATACCGCGTAAACCGCTACAGAAATGGGATGATACTCAACATAATAAGATACAAAGAATATATAGATGACGAACAAACTCTGCCTTTTGATGTGTAGCAACGTAGTAGGCTTTAGTGTCATTAAGCCTTAGCAAAACTGGTGCAGTTATGTTTTACTCTGCACGCTAATATTTCATTGTTAAACTGAAATGGCTTTGTTGATTGTTTACATTTTAACAAATTTGGAGACGTCTGACAATGTTCTCCTTATTTGACGATTTATGTTTGTCTGAAGAACGTGTTAGAAAAAGCAACTACAAGACTATGATAGCTACAACATGTTTGCGGTTTTATAAGGTTCCTTGGTGTTCTTTTCACTTTATGACCGATTCTCGTAGATGATAGAGGAACTGGGTTTCAAAATCTCTACCCAAGTGTCATATTGCGACCCATCAAAGTGCAAAATCATCGTCATAGTTATTTCAGCCTTTATTGTTACATGTGACGTTTCAAACTGTTTATGCATTATGGTGCATAAAACTTGGCAGATACTGAAGATTAGAAATGCCATGTTAAGAAGACTATAAATTGTCAGCCATGCATTGCTAACACTCTTCAAAATGACTAATTGTTTGTAAACCTTACTCCTATTCTCCTTGAGTAACATATTGGGTAACCTGCCCCAGTTACATATTGTACAAAGAGAAATTATTATTAAAATTAGTTTGACTTCACACTTGACTTGCTAACTATTCAGGTGACGGTACCCTTAATGGTGTCGATGTTTGCTCATAATGTCAATAACAGAATTGTGGTGTCCCTAATTGATTTATTTACAGACCACTGTGATTTTGCCTTGTTGTAACATACTAACTGTGGAAACAGCTGTATGGCGTTTAGTGTTGATACTTTCATAAGGGCCCTCTCAGACGATGCATTATTTCAGCATGTCAGATTTGTTCATGTTCAATGACATGGGCTGATTGTTAAAAAATATGTCCTTGAGATAACTTTCCAATTTTGTGATGGAGAAAGTCTCCTCAAACTTGATGACTGCCTAAAATGTCTTCATACAATGTACAATAGTGTAATTGGTGCTCTAATTAATCTTTGCTCCCTGAAGTATGTATCTATATCAGTACAAAACTATTTCTGATTGAAATGCTCGCAGTGATACTCAATTGAAGTCATTGAATCAAAAGCTGAAATGCTCAGTCCTAGTATGGGTAAACTGATAGGTAAGAGTTCTGCCCGTAACCCCGCTTGAAATGTATTCCAATTTATTATCGTTATTTCTAGGGGTTAAGTTTAGAGTTACCATTGTTAGGTTTATTGGGGTATAGGTGTTTTTTAAATAAAAAACATCTATTCTTTAGCAGTGTATGAAATAAGGCCCGTCCGACCGCTCAAAAGGGTCTAGATTTCTGACGGACGGTCTAAATTTACAACTAGCCAGCCCGATGGTCTGGTAAATCTTTTTTAGATGTTCCATACATCTGAGTAAATTCACCATATTTGGTCTGGTTAAATCCATTTTGGGGTGGTAACATTTTGAAGTTACCAGCCCTGATGTCTGGCTGGATTTTTGGCTTATTTCATACATTGTCTTAAGCATAGAATGATGACAAAAGACGTGAGTTAGGGGCGGAAATCTTTCCAACTGATATGTAAACTTGTATTTGAAACTACATGAACTGAGCTAGACTGAGACTGGTGACATTTCTGAACATACAATGCCATTTGGTGACATTTAGTAAGATCAGAACTGGGGAAATATTTTATTTATGAACGTGGATGTATAGTGAGGGAGTTTAGTTCTATGCCACTGTTAGCAATATTTCAGCAATATTATGGCAGTGGACACCAGAAATGGGCTTCACACACTGTACCCATGTGGGAAATTGAATCCAGGTCTTTGGTATGAAGAGTGAACACTTTAACCATTAGGCTACCCGACCGTCCCAGTCATGGTAATGTTTTTGTTGTCTTCTTTTACAGACTTGAAATCTTGTATGGTTCCTGTGCGTTTTGGCTATGCTTGCAGACTTTCACTGTCACTGAGATTTCTTTCAACGTTAATGTGAATGTGTAATTTGTCCATTCTCAAATGAGAACGAACTTCCATTACATTGTGCAGCTAGCTACATGGTTCTCTGATAAAGCTGTCACGAGTTTCCTGAAGTGTGATTGAAATCAGATCAAGGAAGTAACTGGCATCAGTTCAGTTGGTCGTGGCACTACACACAAAATTTACACTTTATTAAACCTTTATTTAGTATGTAGTGTTTGACAACAATATTTTATAAAACGTTAGTAAAGATGAAATGTTATGGTTGCCTGCAGACAGTTGAAAAACTTGAAGCTGATCTTTTTTGTTGCTATAGCAGTGTGTTATAGAACACATTCCCTGTCTATAATAGAACACATTCCCTTTGTTCAACAATTATTTGAAACACTGTATTATCAGCTACTAGTCATGATACAGAAATGTAGCTTTTGTGTCCATTCAGATCAATGAAACATGTTCAGTATATGAATGCTGTTTGTTCATTTTAATACTATCCTGCAAAAATTAGGGCACTAATTATCAAGAATGATTTTTGTCAGGGAACCTGATCATGGACCTTCTTGGTACCTGATCTGAGTTCAGTGAAAAACAAGGTTTATCAATCATTTGCTTATGACAATGGGTATGTATGTTTTTTCTGCATGACACATTAAACCACTGAAATAATCGAGTTGTCTTGAGCCATACAGGTAAATTGGTTCATTTTGTCTCCATCATAGGTGTCTGCATTGTAACATAACTGGGTAATATGCAGCCGTCATTTTGCATTGTTAACTGTAGTGTTGGGAATCGGAAACCCAAACCACTATCGATTATCGGAGGACTTGAGGTGAACGATTATCATTGAAATATATACATTTTTAATGAAATCACCAATTATAAGGATATTTCCCCAGGTTTTTCTAATTAATGTTTTTATAACTAATACTGTCATGCAATGAAATGCACACGTGCAAGAAAGACACTGGAATTGTAATTAAACAATAAAAGTGGTTAAAAGATTACAATGCGCATAGTGTTACGTTCTTGAGTGCATGTTTGTTCGTGAATATTAGTCAAATTTAATGGTTAACTTAATTCAATCAGGTGTGTTGTACTAAAACAACCAAATTCCGATTAATTGAAAATGTTTATTACAATTGATCATCATTTTAAATCCTTATTTCGATTTGTATGGGATTTGTATGTGCTTAAGACATAAATGGGCTTCTAACCAGTCATTATGCCTTTCTGTAAATATCGGTGTCCCTGGACAGTTTAGTTTGGTTATACTTCACTGTCAAAGATTTTGCTAGCCATGTTAATTCAAATCTTCCATGTTTGCACAAAACTGATATGAAATACAGTATACTTCATTCTGTTAAAATATGTATTGTTTCAGGAATGGTTTAGCATGTTTAGAAACAAACTGATCAACATTTTAGATTTATGATAGGTTTTCAGGTATTCAATTTGATCATGTATTGATATCTGAAAATAGCATGAAAGATATTGAAAATAGTTTTTGCAAAAACAAAATTATAGTTGTGGTTTTCAAATTTGTAGGCTTTACCTGAATGTTTGTTGCAATGCATTTGGGATGAAATTTTGAATAATATGTTGTAACTGTACATGTTTGGGACAAGGTGACTGTTTATTCCTTATTTTATCCATGGTTGTTCTCCCTTCAGGAATAGAAACACATTTGGCCCATGAAGTCAGGGATGATATAGCCTTGTGTTTAAAGCGTTAGCTCATCATGGCAAAAGCCCAGATTCGATTCCCCAATTAGAGCAATATGTGAAGCTCATTTCTTTGCGTCCCCCACTGTGATGTGGCTGGAGGATTGCTCTAAAGGCTCTTTCACCTAAAGGTTGTTCTAGATTCTCCATGGGGAAGTTCCAGCAATCTGCTGTATTGAAATTGGTATTATCTTTTACATTGACCATATTGTTTTCTTTGACTTCTAATATTTATTTATTTTGATCTTTACAGTAAGAGGATCAAGACCGGGCAAAAATGTCCAGTTGACAGAATCGGAAATCCGAGGTCTCTGCTTAAAGTCAAGAGAAATATTTTTAAGTCAGCCTATCCTTCTGGAACTTGAAGCTCCCTTGAAAATATGTGGTAAGTAAATAGTTTGGTATGTTCAAATAAATCCAGCCAAGATATACTCAAGAGTTAAAACACATTCTTATATTTTCATCTGCAATGGTTTTATAAGCAGTTACTGTACATTAGGACTATGTGGCAAATATGATATGTATCATGAATATTGGGTAACGAATATGAATAATTATTCATGAATACAATATTGTAGTTATGTGATTGATGTACAATATGGAATGCCCATGTTGACAGTTTTAATTTGTCACAGCAATAACCAATGATCTCATAACATTCAAATTTGTTATGTAATAGTTATAGTCGACAGTACCATGTGTGGCCTTGGCAAACTAACATGACTTGAGCTACTGCAATGCTAGTACATATTCAATCCTTGCATATCTCACTTTCCAAAAGTACACAAGGGTTCAAGTAAAACATGCTCCCTTAAAAAAATTGTAAATATTCGTTAATATTCGGTTCTGTTGACCACGAATAACGAATTGAATTCATGAAGGGCTACGGTTCGATTCACCGAATATGCGAGTGAATCGTTACAGCCTTACTGTACATGCAGTTGAAAAGTATCATTTCAGTCTTAAATATTGTGTTTTTTACTTCAGTCTTAACTCGAAATGTTTTATTAATGTTTCAGGTGATATTCACGGTCAGTACTACGACCTTTTGCGTCTGTTCGAGTATGGGGGTTTTCCACCAGAGAGCAACTACCTGTTTCTTGGAGATTATGTAGATCGAGGGAAGCAGTCTCTTGAAACAATATGTCTGTTGCTGGCTTACAAGATCAAGTACCCTGAGAACTTTTTTCTTCTTCGAGGAAACCATGAGTGTGCAAGCATTAACAGAATATATGGATTCTATGATGAGTGTAAGTTATTTTGTCTGAATATTATGCTAGTAATTCATTCATCTCTTAGTAAAGTTGAAGGTTTTATAATGAATTTCTGTTGTAGCTATACCTCCTTGTTTAAACTTCTGTAACTTACTGGCAAGCAAGGATAAGTTGAGCACCGACCTGACAATTGACTGATTTTTATATTAGCATGTAAGTTGGTTTTGAGGTATGACCATACCGTAAACTTACTCAATGCCATTGTGAGCGAAGGGGCCCCGGGTTGTCCATGATTAAGTGTAGTGCTACACCAACCACTTCAGAGCCTTATGAGGCCAAATGAAAAAAAATGTTGTGGTTCCGATTACACCATTAGAATCTAGGGAGGGAGGTAGGATTTTATTTTTATTATTTATTTTTTACATTTTATTTTAGAAGTAAAGTATAAACTAATAACAGATTTATCAATGTATAATTGTTTCATTCAATCAAGGTTTCAGCCATCATGTCGACTTTCTCTATCAGAATGACTGATGTGTGTCGGTGCCGGGGAAAAAACAATTGTATCTGAAAGCTTATTTCATTCATACTGCTTAAACAAATTATGGTCGACACCAGAATTCAAGGGTCGGTCGGGTAATCGGAACCACAGCAATTTTGTTTTAGACCTGAGCAAGGTGTTTGCAGCTATGCGTGGAATCAATTTTATCGTCATGCACTGCATGTGCACTAGCTTACATCTGCTGTACCTTTCACAAACCAAATGGGTTTGCTCACTGCCAGTACATGGGGTTATTTGTGTATTGTTGCCCAAAACATTTCAAATTCTCTTAATGTTTATAAGCATTTAAATGAAATTCCAATTACAACATGCGCATTTCATGGCAATAGTCTTAGAACTGTATATAATACATGCATACTTCATCTAGTCATTATTTTGTTCAATTTTGTAAGCTCGGCGATTTAAATTTACAATCTGAGTATAAAGTGACATTGACATTTTCTTCATTTATGTCCACTAGTAATTTTCTCACAACTTTCGTGGTATGGTCATCATCCTTTTGTTGAAAATGGTTCAGCTTGTCAAAATGGTTCAGCACAGTTAGTGCACTGCACTCAGTAATATCATTTAGCATGATGTTAGCTGTGCTGCATTGAGTATTTGAACAACAGAAATTATGCATGGCTATGCCAGTTGGAGAATGAAGCATATCAAATGTCTACCAAATTACAAACTTCTACTAAATTACTAACTTCTGTGTCTACTGATATGAGCAAGAACAAATTTAGTCACCACAAGATATTGTTTCAAGATAGTCATTTGGCGACCTAAATTGAGGTAGGCAAACTGAAATTTAGGTTGCATTGGCCACTATTTTAGTCGCAACTTGGAGTTCTATATAACATTGAACACATTTCTTATTTGCTTTTCACATTAGCTTTTAAGGCACAGTTTCATATTCTTTGTATTTTCAGGCAAGCGGCGATACAACATCAAACTTTGGAAGACATTTACAGACTGCTTCAACTGTTTACCTATAGCTGCAATCATTGATGAGAAGATCTTCTGTTGTCATGGAGGTATGTGGCATGTCAACATGATTTTCACTTGGTATGAATATATTTTTAACTGTTTTTGTCAGCTTTGCATTTTAGGAGGAAAAGTTGTTTCCATATTTTCTTAATTTATGAATATGTAAGGGAGAAGAGGAATCCTTTCCACTGAGTCTTTGATCTTAAGTAGTGCATGCTACTGTTCAGTTGTCATTGCTTTGATTGGCTGTCATGGTATCTGAATCCCATATTCACCCCCTACGTCGTCATATGAGCGAAATATTCTCAAGCACGACGTTAAACCCAATTTCACCTCACCCATATTCACCCCATTATGACTGCACAATGGTGTCGTGTATGATCAAGGGGAGACAATTCTTAGTACAAATTGGAATGTTAAGAGATACTGCACATCGTCCATTGAACAATGAGATTGTTTTTTCATTTGTACATTTATATTTGTATTTCAGGCTTGAGTCCAGACCTTCAGTCCATGGAACAGATCCGACGAATCATGCGACCAACAGACGTCCCAGACCAAGGTTTATTGTGTGACTTGCTCTGGTCAGATCCAGACAAGGAAACAATGGGATGGGGAGAGAATGACAGAGGCGTGTCATTTACATTTGGAGCAGAAGTTGTTGCAAAATTCTTGCACAAACACGACTTGGACCTTATATGCAGGGCTCATCAAGTATGTACAAACCTTGTATCCAAAATGTCTTTTGACACTTACACCTGCCTGCCTATATAGGTATGGGTTGTCTTTTGTTGGGGGGATTGACTTATTATATAGGAATTATACTGTAGCCTCCTTTGTAAGACCTGTTGCACTGTCAATCAGAACTCCGTCAAATACAGTTATTTATTTTGAAATTTTGAAGAAACCATAGATTTCAATCCTCTTTGACTCCTATCAGACCTTGTAGAAGTCTTTGAATGTCTCCGTGAGAAAATGAATGAGGCTGGATGTTGTATATTCATCTTTTCACCCACCTAAATATTGGCAGGATAAAGGATAGCTGTATGAATAAATTGTTACCTCATCACTAATTTTGTTTTCGACAAATAGCATAACATTTTCTTAATTAGATTATACCTTTCATTGGACATTCTTCTATATCACTCCTAAATTCCCAAATATCTTTTCTACATTGTCAGTTAATGCCTGAAATTAAATCTGAAACCCTGTCATTGGTTTATAAACGTCTCTGCAAAATATAAAATGTGATGCGAAGTTTTTGGAAAAAAACAACCCGCTCTGTGTTCTTTATGCATGGGTGTTGATTTCAAAAATCGTCAATGGTCAAATTGGATCAGTTTTGCTACGCCACTGATGCTTTCATTTATCCAGAAACAATTCACTTGTTTGGAATACTCAATTCAGTATTAGCCATATTGTGGAAACTGATACTTTGTCGTTGTTATATACATCAGAGCTGTGATTAAACTGATGGCTTTGTTTTTTCAGGTTGTGGAAGATGGGTATGAATTCTTTGCAAAGCGCCAGCTAGTGACACTCTTCTCTGCCCCCAACTACTGTGGAGAGTTTGATAATGCTGGTGCCATGATGAGTGTGGATGAGACCCTCATGTGCTCATTCCAGGTAAAACCCTATTTGTTTTGTGAGGAATGTTTTTGTTCACACTTTAATCACCTGTGCCTCTGATAGTGACAAGTTTCTGGTAGAGTTATTTATTACCTAGTTTTATTTTGAATACAATACCTGTATTTGAAACATTTTAGATTTTGTCCTTGAGCCAATGCACAACTTAAATGCATAGCAATAGTATTACTAGACTTGTAATTTGTAGTTAATCAACCTTTCTTTCACCATACAACAACATTAGAATCTATGTCGAAACGTCGCCTATACAGAATAAAGAAGTTGTATATCTATAAAATTGTCCTTATTCTTCAGGCCTCACCGTAGTTTGGAACTTGAATTTTGGAATTTGATCAGTCAGACCCAGTGCATTGAAAAAACTGTTAAAAGACCTACGAAATTATCTTTTCCAGAGAGTATTGACATCTATGAGTTTCTTGCATTCATATCTGAACTTGCTTTTTTTTGCAGATACTTAAGCCTGCAGATAAGAAGAAATTCCCATACGGAGGATTAAATGCAGGTCGACCAGTCACACCTCCTAGGGGAGCCCCAAAAGCCAAAGGAAAGATGTAATCATGTCAATAATGGGATTAAACTTTAAAAGTAAAAAAAACAAACTGCGAAACAGACCCGGCAGAGACAGCTGATCTGTGCCCGACAGATGGCGGCCGACGATTCAGACACGGCAACCTTGACATTGTGTACTAATGGACCTGCTCACGTTTCCCTGTTAGCTGGCTTAGCTAGTGTGTTAGCAGTGATACACCGATTGATATTGGATGGAAGATGAGCACTGTGATGTAGCTACCAGGATGATGGGGATATTCTGCCCAGGCTGCTGTGGCTGAATCAAGTTTGAGCGAGCAAGACCAGCTGCCACTTTCTAATGGAGCATCAAGTGGGTTGGGTGGGCATTTTTTAGTCTGTGAGCGGGATGGTCTTTGTAAATATTGATAAAAATTTTGTTTCATGAAACAGTGTTGGCATGCATGTTATACCATGGACATGCCTCCACCCCTGCTTACCAGTGCTGTACAGTTCTGGCTTTTCACCACTCCTATGTCTAATGGCGGTCTCGGAACTTCACTCCTGCGATGTACTGAACGACCTGCAACCACCAGTCATGTCCTTAACTCCTTGTTCACTCACAATATGAAATACTTGATTATGTATGTATTTTATTTAGAGTGTATAGTCTAGCATTCCCACAACAAAGTCACCAGCTGTACAGGACTTCATTTCACTTGACGATAAATTTTTAGTCGCTCCTGTTGTACAAATGGAACTTCTTATTTAATAATTACTTATTGTCTGTCTGTGGTTGTTCTTCAGTCCTATTCCTTTGTGGTGTCCTGGTGCAAGCCGATGGGTCATGTTTTACCTTCCGACTGTGTAATTTATCACAAATGAATTCTGGCCACGGCCTACCAGGAAGACCCACAACAAAAAGTAATTGGCAGTCGTTAAAATCTCTGAGAATGCATCAAATAATACTTGACAGTCTTTGCGCTTTACTTCTCATTCTTTGAAGGTGATTATGTGCTAATATTGCCTCTGAAATGGGAATGACAATTCACACATCAATCTGTTCATGTCAATTTTGCAATTTGTTCAGTCAACCATAATGTGCTTGCTGCTATATGTATCATACTTACTCTCTTGTATAATAAGTTTGAAGACCATTTATGAAATTCTGATGTGATTTTAGATTTGCTGAAAAATGCTACAGGTTACTGTGAATTGCTGTTCCTGTGAAGAGAGATTTTATCACTAGTCTCTGGAATTCATTTGTGCAGTTAGTCAAAAGAATTGTGTTGATCATTACCATTTTATTACGTCCATTTGTCTTCTTTTGTAGCTGAAATTCTCACACTGTAAAATAAATGAATGTAGTTTCGTAATGACTTGGTTTGTTTTGTCAGTTTTCTTCTTAAACATTAAGCATTTCGCTTTAAGATATCAACACAATAGAAATGGAATAAGCACTGTTAGGTGTAACACCCGTCATTCCCCTGGGAAATAAGCCTTACAAACTATTTTATGATGGAACACATCTGTCTCTGATAAACTTAATGTGCAATTGGAATAAAGTGAAATGTTTTGAAGGTGGTCCATTGCCAAAGTCACTTGAATACCCTGAATACCCTTTCAGTGTCTTCTTGTTATCCTGTTACAACCATCTGTGGGGAGGGTCTTGCAACAAGTCTTCATGAGTCATCGATGAGGTCAACGTTTAGCAATGTGGAAAGGAAATATGAGCGATGCTTAACCTCGTATAGTTGGGTACCGTTTTAACATTTACAGATCGCCGACTACATGCGGCCCCAAGGACACTTTTACACTATTATTTGTAAACACATTTCCAATCGCTAACTCCAATGTTGCAGGTATGTTGAACTTCCTAGTTAACCCAACCTCCAGTTACAGGGTGGAGATCTACAAACAACGATTCAATTTGTGTAAATTTTCAAAGTCCTCTCCAGAATGCATGCGCTTCAAAATCCTGCACACGAAAGCCCTTGTTGACATATCCTGTTTGCAAGGTCGTCTGCATACATGCACTTCATTAACTTAAATGCGCCCACACAGGGCGTACAGTAAGACCAAGCGTTTCTTCTTGAGGATCGTGAGCTGTTCATCAGATCATGAGGCAAAAGATCGCAATATCCCTTTGAAGCTTTCGTAAAATATCAAGATGAAGCTTGCGTCACTTTGTGAGCAAACAGTCAAATAAACTCATGACCGAGTGAGTTGTTTTACGGTTTATACACTATATCATCTAGGGGTGTCAGCTTGTGTGTGTCCAAAGAGAACACAGACCCTGAGCGTTTAACTGACAGACAATTAATTCTACACCAGGTGTGTATTTCAGTACATGACAAATTTCATGAAATGTCCACCGTGATATTGCTGGAATTAATGTTGCTGAAAGCGGTGTAAAACTATACATAATTCTTTTAAAATGAACACTGGAGTAATGTTATACTACGAGGTGGTGAGGTGAAATTGGGTTTAACGTCGTGCTTGAGAATATTTCGCTCATATGACGACGTGCATGCGTGTGTATGTGTATGTGCGGCTGCTTGTACTAGCCCAGACTTAAGCTGGTTTTATAGTGCTAGCCCACTGAGAAACCATGCCGCAGTGAAGCATGAATACCCCACTCAGACACATTATACTGACTCCGAGCCGACCAGTCCTTGTACCCATTAATGCCGAGCGCCAGGCAGGAACCAACAAGTACCATATTTTAAGGTCTTTTGGTATGACGCGGTCGGGGACCGAACCCGCGACCTTCCGCTCTCCGGGCGGACGCCCTAACCACTACGCCAAGGAGGCGGTCTGTTATACTAAGAAGACATCGTTAAAAGTGGTAATTTTGCTGTAAATAATATTACAAATCCTGGAGGACGTGAAATGACTCCATGAAGCTGCAGCGTGTATGGTCAAGATGGCCGTGTAGTGAGTGCACAGTTATAGTAGTGGTGTGTCTCCAGGCAAGCATCTCCAGGGCAACACCTCAAGGCCTTGGTATTGGTACCAAAGACATGGTACGTAGGTATGTTTATGGCAGCTTAGCGCCCAGCGAATGACCGAAGCGGACGGAAAACTGGTGGTTGACCAATTAGTCAAGTTTCAAGCAACATAAGCATCGTCATGCACGTTTTGACAACAACTGCAAACCTGGGGTCGACAAATGTTGCGGTGGGAAGGTAATGATGTGGGCGGTTCTCTAAAACTGAAAGTACAAGGCAACTTTACCCAGCGCTATTATGATGAAATCCTAGAGCAATTCACATAAAGATCGGGGTCACGGGCGGCTCTATCGTCATCCCTGATCTGTGCAGAGTTGATCGCCAGAACACAATGATCGTGAGTTCGAATCCCCGTTCCGCCCATTATACATTCATGTTTCTAGGTTTGACTGCACCATTCCCGTTCCCGTTGGTTTCACCAAAGCAGTACCCGTGAAGGTCCCGGGTTAGAATTGGTCTTCAGTAACCCATGCTTGTCGTAAAAGGCGACTATGCTTGTCGTAAGAGGCGACTAACGGGATCGGGTGGTCAGGCTCGCTGACTTGGTTGACACATGTCATCGGTTCCCAATTGCGCAGATCGATGCTCATGCTGTTGATCACTGGATTGTCTGGTCCAGACTCGATTATTTACAGACCGCCGCCATATAGCTGGAATATTGCTGAGTGCGGCGTAAAACTAAACTCACTCACTCACTCACCAAAGCAGTAAACGTCTAAAACGTACATTACTTCGGGCTTCGCTCCCACTGTTCAAAGCTGCTTCAAGCTTGGCTTGGTGTGATTGTTTAACGCCGCACACTGCAATATTCCAGCTATATGGCGGCGGTCTGTAAATGATTGAGTCTGGACCAGAGAATCCAGGGATCAATAGTATAACCATCGATCAGTTGGGTGGAAGCTCTGTTGCATGATGATTATAACTGAAAACGTGCTGCGCGGCACTGTTGTGTTGATAGAGCGTTGGTCTCTTATGTGGGTGAGTGAGTGGCGTTGTGACCCGTGAAGGTCCGGGTTAGAATTGATCTTCAGCAACATATGCTTGTCGTAATAGGCGACTAACGGGATCGAGTGGTCAGGTTCGTTGACTTGGTTGACACATGTCATCGGTTCCCAAATGCGTAGAATGATGCTCATGTTGTTGATCACTGGGTTGTCTGGTCCATACTCGATTATTTACAGACCGCCATCATATATAACATGTTGCATTTGACCACTTTCTATAAATGGCATTGTGTGTTCATCGCCGCCATATAGCTGGGATATTGCTGAGTGCGGCGTTAAAAAACAAACCCAAAAAACATTACTGTCAAGCACTGATGTTTCAAAAGCTCGACTGCATCGATATTAACTGGCTTGCGAAAATAGAGTATCCACTCCTGCTTGATGGTGGCTAAAATGAAGCACACATGAAATCAGTGTAGTATTAGATACAATCGTAGATGTGAGTGAGTGAGGTGGTATTCTGCTGTCCAAGAGTGAGTGAGTATGGTTTTACGCCGCTTTTAGCAATATTCCAGCAATATCACGGCGGGGGACACCAGAAATGGGCTTCACACATTGTGCTCATGTGGGGAATCGAACCCGGGCCTTCGGCGTGACAAGCGAACGCGTTAACCACTGGGCCACCCCGCCGCCCCTGTGAGCCTCAAGAACTGCACGGACTAGATACTGTAACTGTCAGTTTATTATTGGCTTGTGTATATTGATCATTGAGACAAGATAAAGATCGATAAATCAATAGGTGGTTTAATGAGACCATAGTGATGGATTTGTGTTCCCCTCACGTCACTACATGCCTTCGCTTTCAGTGGTATTTTCAAGCGTATTTGTATTGTATGTATAAACACAGTTTTTCAACAGAATTGTATATTACCACTTTAACATGTGATAAGTTTAGATATGCTTGCGATGTTGCTCTAGTCATCTGAGAATTGAACCTGGTAGACATAGTAAGGAACCTAGAAATGAGTTGTTTAGCGATGAGGTGATTGATACGAGTGTCATAATTGTGATCTGACCTTATTTTTGGGATCCCAAGAAACAAAAACATGCCAAATGGTACACCTTTTAAAATTATGTTCATTTGTAGTCTTCACTGAAGGGCAGTGGGGAAGTCTAGTGGTTAAAGCATTCGCTCGTCGAGTCGACGACTCTGGTTCGATTCCCCATATGGGTAAATTGTGAAGCCCATTTCTGGTGTCCTCCCCGTAAAACTAATACTCACTCATCACTGAAATTGGCATTTCTTTTCTTTACGCTCCATTTGTCAGACCCGTGAAGATCTGGGTTAGAATTGGTCTTCAGCAATCCATGATTGTTCAAGAGGCGACTAACGGGATCGGGTGGTCAGGCTCACTGACTTGGTTGACACATGTCTTTGTTTTGACACATTTCAGCTCGAGGCATTTTTCATTCCTATTATGTGTATGGTGTCTTCCACTTCATTGTATTTTGGACCCTAGTGATGTATTCTGGAACGATACCATTCATATCTTGATAGTAATGTTACTCTAGGCTCTTAACTTGTATACAAGAGCCCTTGCCTCGCCTAATGAAACCCTTTAATTTGGTTTGAGAAACATTGAATATAACTTCAAAAAATATTTTTACAAGTCATTTGTACTGTTCTACAATACCATCCTTATTAGTGTGGGTATTTTATGGGTTAGAAAATAGAACTAACCGGGACCTACATTCCTTTCCTTGTTCAATGCAGTTGGGATATATCCCAATTGCGCAGAACAATGCTGATGCTGTTGATCACTGGATTGTCTGGCCCAGACTCGATTATTCAGAAACCGCCGCCATATAGCTGGAATATTGCTGAATGCGGGGTTAAACAACAAACAAATCCATTTATCAATGACTACATATTCTATTATATTATTGTATACCGTCCTCCGTGCCATTTAGTGGTGTTTTTAATGTAACGCACAGATTAGTGGACGTTTCTTCTAAGAATTTAGCGATAACTTTATGTGACATTTTAAGAATGGTAGCTAGGACAATGTGTAATATAACACGTTTCTTTCAGCACAAAAACACCGGATTGTGTCACTGGTGATTTACCGTTCATTTCTTTCGGACCCACACAGCTTGAACGTCTTAGGTGAATCAGCAACAAGTGCAAGGTGGAACCCTTCCCTTTCACGCCAGATAAATTCTATGATGTTGCTAGTATATGAGAAAATTCAGGTTAGATATAAAGCATCGTGTCGCTTAGGAAATAAACATCATGTGTTGGCCAATTTCTGGGTGTTATTGAGTATTTGAAGCACGGGAATTCATTTGGAACCGACGGCGTCACTCGTTGACATCAAGTACGGGTACAGCAGTGAAATGTCATCTCCAATGTAGCATCTGGAACTGCTGATTTGTGACGTCATTCGGACTTTACGTCACAATATGATTTTAATGACGTCATCACAGCTGACGACGTAACAATACAATGGTGTGAGCGATGTTTGTATGTATTAATACGCAGAGAATTTCCGAAAATCAAATACCATTTGATTACGTTTTTCAACCAATCAGATTAAAGAACACAGTGACTTTGGGTTTACGATGTTTATTTAACTGCACATTTACCACGAGAAGTACATGCGATGACATCGTGAGTGAGTTTAAATATGTTCGAAATATGCCTGTGTTCAACCATCAGTAAATGGGTACCAAGTAGGATTAGAATATTGTGACTGTTGTCGAGTCACGTCTCACAAAGCAGCATGACTTCTATACTCCCCAAGGCAATGAAACAATGAGTGGAGTGAATGGACATCTTCTCCTCGTCATCATCGTTGGAGGAGTAGCCTAGTCACACCAAAGACCTGGGTTCGATCCCCAACATGGGTGCAATGTGTGAAGCCCATTTATGGTGTCCCTCGCCGTGATATTGTTGGAATATTGCTAAAAGAGGTGCACTCACTCACTCAGTGGCTTTTGTTGTTGTCTTCACCATCCCGCCAAGGTATTCCTCCGTTGACGTTAACGTTCTCAAGTTTTTCTCTTATGTCCATTTTCCTCTCGAAATGGTTCAAGTCGTTAAGAAGCACAAAACTCCGTATATGGTCATTTGTTTATTTGTTTGTTGATTAAAATACCCACATATTGAAAATACATCGTCATGTACAATATGAAATAGTCCACACAAAATACATATCCAGACAATATCAAATATATATCATGAAAAAGCAGGCATAGTTTGAATATTCCATAATACCAACACAAAAACACACAACTGGCCTCCTTCCAGCGAAGAACTCCAGTTGCCATTCAAGTCGACAATATACAACAAGTGACAATGTTTGGCATACACGAAACTGGAATGAGCCAAGTTTACGCCCACATAAACATAAGTTCGACATAAGGGACAGTTGATAATTTATGGCTAGGGGGGATGATGATGATTTTTATTGAGAAGCACGTACAATGTGAATGAACCCCCTAAAATTTATGTACAAAGTAAGTGACCCCCCTGCATGTCATGTACAAAGTCAATGACCCCCCTCCCCTTTCCATATTTTTAAAGCATAAGTTTTAAATATTTTTATGTACAAAATTGCTGACACCCCCACACATGTGTACAAAATTTATGACCCCCTTAAAAATCATCATCACCCCTAGCCATAAATTATGAACGGTCCCTAAATGTCGGAACGAAGTAAGTGGCGCATCTACAATGTGATGTGGTGAAAAGCAGAAACACATTCTATTTATTAAGTAAAAGGGAATAAATTATTTGTATGATCTTAAGTAAAAGCAACAAAAGTCTTTTGCTGATCAAAAGTAAAAGTATAAGCATAAATAAACTAAATAAACTAGTTTGTTCTCTGATAAACGCCGGATTCATTGTACGATTCCGACAACAGAATGAGTGAGTTTAGTTTTACGCCGCTTTTAGCAATATTCCAGCAATATCACGGCGGGGGACACCACAAATGAGCTTCACACATTGTACCTATGTGCGGAATCGAACCCGGGTCTAGCGAACGAGCGAACACTTTAACCACTAGGCTACCCCACTGCCCCGACTACATAATGAACATGTGTTCCACTATCAATAGTGGTGATACCATGTGTTCACCAAAAAGTTGAGAGTATGCTGCCCAGCAGGTAGAAACCATCACAAACATATGCAAAGACAAGTCAATTGTTCACCTGGAAAAACTCTTGAATATATGATACAGTTGTCAAAATGGGGAACTGCATCGGGCATAATTTTTGTCACGGCCAAGTTAAAGTTGGATATATTATCCACACGTCTACCATAAAAATATCTGAAAGGTTTCTAAGGCCTTGAAGGATGTAACTCTGACCAAACACTTTTATAGTCGTTAGTACAGGCATGCTCGACTGTTCCACATTCACAGTATAATAGGTAGATATTTCTGGAGTAGCTGAAATATTTGTGGACATAAAGGGAACGTTTACTATGGGAAAGATCATTCCTCTTGTCATACCTTTTTGAGGATAGTTTTGTCACTCTAAAATATGAAAAAGACAAGGAACTGTCACTTGTCCCTATTATTTCTAGTTCCGACGGGTAAATCAGGACATTGCTTGAACATACTCGATTATCAGACTATAAAGCTTCAGTTCTAATTAAAAAATTAAAACCGTTTGAACAGAAATTACCACTGATATTGTAAGGAGTCTGAAATTAAAACGCAAATGTTACTCCAAACATTGATTTGTACGTAACTAATAATGAAATCGGTAAATGATATCACACGCCCAAGGAACAGTTAACAAATTATACTAGAACATACCGTTGTAAGTTTGAAACGCAATTTTCAAACAATTTTGAGAAGAGAAATCATTTATCATTTAATCACAACAAAGTTCTATTTACCCACAATCAAACTTCTCAGTAACGAACCTGTTTCAGGCTCACCCTGCTCTACTCACTAGACAGTGGACTGTTCCATTATACCCGTAGGCGTTACCCTAATTAACCTTCTAGTTCAGTGTCTGTCAATTGGGTGTCTGTCAAATGGGTGTCTGTCAATTGGGAGATAACCGGTCAAATAGAGTATCAGCATTACTTACTAAAAGGCCATAAAACCTATGTACGTGCACTCAAAATTTCAGATTCTTCCACAGTGCACTTGGTAAGTAGATGAATCGCGAATCGGTTCGTAAAAGGCTTCGAATCGCCTGCGACTCGCTCTTTTATAGAAAATGTCCCAACCTAAACTTCTTTAACGGCCATGTCTGTATAGGGATTGTCAGTACTAAGGGAGGTAACTCTGTACTTTTCCTGTTTGATCTCGCCATTCAAAGCAATCGATATTTTACGGACGTTTCAGTCATTTGGTGTCTCTAACAATAAATACCCAAATTTTCACAACGATCATCACTGCCACATCACAATATACATAGCAAAACAGTTGAGCAAGTGTGGGGGCAAGACTTGTGCCTATAGAGATGCCGGCCTCCCTTCGTATATGCTATTCCTAATTAAACAAAGCTGTCATCTGTGAGCGCGGTGGGGTAGCGATGAGTGGCGCGAATGGACACGTGGAGTGGAGTAGCCTAGTGGTTAAAGCGTTCGCCCGTCACGCCAAAGATCCGGGTTTGATTCCCCACATGGGTACAATGTGTGAAGCCCATTTCTGGTGTCTCCCGGTGTGATAGTGCTGGAATATTGCTAAAAGTGGCGTAAAATTAAACCCACTCACTCACTGTTATCTATAAGAAAGTCCGGCATTTTACATTATGTATCATCAGAAAACTTCATATTTGCTTTAATCTTTGTAAAGAAATTGTGAATATTTGAATATAGAGATATAACTTTATCTATGACACATATACATGGAATTGTCCTGAAGTCTGTCTTGTGTGAAGTGCTGTTCATACTATCAGACTCTTTGACAGAATTGGAATTGGTTCGTTTCCTTTGACGTTCTTATTAGAATCTATATGGTATTCAATTTGTAAATAATCTGTAAATATAAAGTCCTTTGATCGTAGGAAGAATGGTCGTTGATGTCTGGGACAGGGATTCGGTGGTATATTTCATTATGCGTCCCTTTTTGTCTTCATAGAGCTTCGGGTTCCAGTCGTAAGAAGAATGGACATGTGTTCAACCCAAACCAATACTGACGCCTGTTACTGTCAGATTACTTCCTCAGTGAACATACTGGTCTTATATGTGGCTTGGCTTTACAAGTCACTCATACAAGTCCTTTGATCAAATAACAGCGAAGCTAACACATAATGGTCATGTTATTTGATGTCAACAATAGAGATTAGATCAATGCAGCCAGACTTTGGATGACAACTGTCTGAGTCAAAGTGGGTGGATATTCAATTCGGTTTTATCTCTTCAGTACCTGCGTTCTGTCTTTGACAACATCACGCACTGACTTATCCTACTCTGAAAGACATTCAACAAGTTAATGTCTATTGGTCTGTTATTTTTGGCATACACTTTGACAGCTTCTATAGTCTGTTTGCAGCGAAAACGTACCGATGAATTTCACTTTAAACAAAAAAGTAAATCGAATATAGTGAAATTAAGATTGCGAATCCTCATAATTTTACCTTGCCAATTGAAAATTTAAATCTGAGAATTTTATTCAACTTAAGATAAAAGTTGTTTAACAAACGATCAAAGTTTCAAATCGCTATTATTGGTTTGTATTACAAGGGGGTATGCACATTAAATGAAACACCGAGAACAAGTAGGGTTGGTCTAAGTTAACGTTCATCACGCACCGCACGTGCATTTGTTTCACTGTTCCAACTACTACGCTTATCCCCTTGTAATACAAACCAATAATAGCAATTCGAATCGCTGCAAACAGACTATATAACGATGTTATTTGTCATCCTAACAGGTAACAGGTTCCTGATATTTGGGGCAATATAAGAATAAGTGACGAATGTTGTTATTGTCTTCAGTTAGTCACCCGCGACACAAAAGCACTGGTGCTGAGTGAGTGAGTTTGTTTTTTTACGCCGCTTTTAGCAATATTCCAGAAATATCATGGAGGGGACACCAGAAATGAGCTTCACACATTGTATCCATGTGGGGAATAGAACCCGGGTCTTCGGCGTGACGAGCGAACGCTTTAACCACTAGGCTACCCCACCGCCCCGCACGGGTGCTGAACAACCAAAGTCCGTTATCGGACCAGTCTAAGGAGCTAGGGTCTAACGTTAGCTAGGGTCATAGGCGTGCACAACCTCTGGTGGCGCGATCAAGGACCATAATCAGTGATATTCGAACGATCAACGATCCTGCAAACAAATTGAGGCGCTTTAAAAACCTTTACCACTTGCGCCGCCACTTATACAAAGACACATACATATATACACCATTATACAAACATAGGCACATTGCTCATTCCTGAAATGAACAATTAACCAAAGCTATTCAAGACGTTCTGTAGAATGGCCTACACTGTCGGACAAAAGACAGTATACACTCATGTTTGATAGTGCCGAAAATTAAACGAACATGGGAAGGGTTGTACCGTTGTTATATATTTCATGCAGATATCCAAGCTGTAATCTGAAGGTAAACTTTTCAGCCTAGTAACAACCTGATAAAATTTGTGCTTTTACTGCCATCCAATCTTCAAGCGTAAGCTATTTTTGTGTCGGACAGTTTTAAATACAAGAGGCCATGGTTAATAAGACACTGGAATTATAAAACTTAACCAAAACAACTGTTCATTACAATTTTTCGACCTAAATTAGATAAAGGACAAAGATTTAATTCACTTACTTTAATTTAAATTGCAGGGAGAAAGTAAGTAGACACGAGAAATTTGGATTTCATAAAAAATCGAATAACTATTCCTTGTTTGTTTCATTGTCAGCTATCCCAAAACGTGAGCGTATGCTTACTTTGCCCGGTACTGTACATTTTCTTAATCACGACGAACGATGCATAGCTAGACGTACAAAAAGAACCAACCAGCCAAACAAAAATACGCGATTTCTTGATTCAGGTCCAACGATAAGTAACGAAAGTATAAAAACAAACATATACATTTACAAAATATATATGTTACCCCTCTCCCTAATAGCGCATGAATGATTACTCCTTGTCTCTGTGCGTGAAAGACTCACGAATGAGATAACGCTTGGAGCAATTTTACCATAGCTTCCCCTGACACTGCCATGTCACCATAACACAAGACACTGTCATGTTACCATAACACAAGACACTGCCATGTCACCATAACACAAGACACTGCCATGTCACCATAACACAAGACACTGCCATGTTACCATAACACAAGACACGGCCATGTCACTGTAACACAAGACAAGATAACAATATGAATAGAGTATCAGACTAAGGGCAGTTAGATTGGGCGGCTCCAAACACGCATCCCGGATTTGTAAAGGCCTGAAGGAGGCGCGGGTCAGTTCTGAGAGTGACCTGTCCGAGGGCGAAGTCACATTATCCGCACAACTTCAAATACTTTAACACCGACACATGTATACGTGCGAATACTAGCATTCACCTGGTTCGACACGACGATTGTCCGCTGATCTTCGCTACAGCGTGTAGTATGGGAGCGTATTACTACTACAGTGGACAACAATATTATCATCTACGTAGAAGATACTAACGTATATGGGCGTACGTGATATATCTAATGGAGAGAAGGCATTATATACGACCAAATTATCGATATTAACCACATTTTCACGAGTAATCGACAACAGTTCTGGGTCTGCTTCATTTATAATGACAATGTATTTGGTTTTCCAACTCTATATGTTTTGATTGAGTTCCTGTATGAATATTAAATAAAGTAAATACGCTACAGTTTGGTTAAATGATATAAATTATACCCAGCTAGGGTCTGAGTAACGAAACGCACGATTATATTACATATAGAGAATCTACCCCAAGTGTCTTTTGATATCAAATATATCACCACGAGTTCATAAAGTTACAAATATCCGAGGCTTGCCGAGGATATTTTTACTTTTATCAACGAGTGTTGATATATTTGATATCAGTAGACACGAGGGTGAGATTCTATTTATCATAAAAATCACTCTTCATTAGTTTTCAATGAAAAATGTACATCTCTGAACACGGTCCTGCCATTAGACTTGCATTGTGTCGTCATCGGGGTTTTGACGTCATATCATTGTGAGTTATGTATTTGATGACGTCAGGGCATTGTACAAAATCTATTGTCAAAACGATATCTCCTAGGAAATATCATTTGATCTCGCACAACATCTCCTGTGGAACGCGGTTTGGATGATAAACATAATAATCATCTAGGTAGATGTAGGCATCAGCTACGTAGATATATCTACTTAGATGTAAGAATCCACTACCTATATGTTTGTACTTTCTACGTAGATGTACGTATCATCCATCTTGATGTATATTTTAACTACGAAGATATAAGTATCAGCTACGAAGATGAAAGTATCTTCTACGTAGATGTAAATATCAACAACGTAGATGTAAGTATCGTCTACGTAGATGTAAGTATCAGCTACGAAGATGTAAGTATCAGCTACGTAGATGTAAGTATCGTCTACGTAGATGTAAGTATCAGCTACGTAGATGTAAATATCGTCTACGTAGATGTAAACTGCGGCTCGAATACGCTTCCGATTGATAGTCCTTTCCATTTGAATTAGAAAGAACGATCGTGAATATCAATATATGGAAATAGCTACGTGTGTGCTGATACTTACGAAGTAAAAACACATTCAGGCGATAAGGAACATTAGATTGTGACAGAAACTGCAAGAGCGTTTTTAAAGAAATAATCTTCATCTCCGGTCTGGCTTGTGTTTCTTTTCTCACCTTTCAGTATTCGCACTACATTTGCTATCTACTTTAATAATCGTTATATTTGTATTTAGTTTCCAGTGGCGAGTACTATCGGGTCAAATCAAGTCAGTGCTAGGCGTAACCCACATACTGAATCTGTCACGTTGTCTGCTGCAAGGCTGTCAGCTAATCTTCCAGTGATGTCATGAACAGATATTCTCTCATCCCTACACACTCCTTAACAAAAGCAGGTCAGCTTGATCTTTCTGAATTCACATTAACATATTAACGAAATATATTATGAATTTTAAAATTTCATTAAATAAGTTACAAAAGTAGTGAAGAAAATACTTCTGTTGCTGACTGAGGATAGGGATGAGAACAAACAAATACGGATGGCTTCACAAAATGACAGTTCTACCGTTCTACCGTTACTGAAGTTGTATCAGCCCGTGTCAGCTAATTATGCATTCCGATCCACTCGGCACATTCCGCTATATGAAACCTCGGACAATAGTTGAGTTCGGATATTGCATGAATTTACCGTATACCATTCTCCAAACCTAAAAAGAGTATCCGCCGTATAATCCAGGCGTGTGTAATTTGTAATCAAAGACATATTATTACATATGGGTATATACAGTTTCGTTTGAACACGAACAAACACTTTGAACAGTTACATCTGCTAACAACATCCGCCATGTTGTGTCACGTGACTCGTTACGTGGGAGCCGTTCTAATATAGCAGTATCATAGTGTCCTGTGTAGACACAGTCAAATATCATGCTCCTCATGCAAACAAATGTCTGTTCCATACAAAACAAGTCCATGGAGGGCTCTGTCGTTATAGGCGCTGCAAATCGCTGTGCAGAGTTGCCTCCCTTGAGCACGCCAGAATCCTATTACCGTGGGTTCGAATGCCGGTCCGTCCCGATCGTGTTTCCGGTTTTCTCTGCACCATACCTGTGCGAACTTTCGCGAGAAGTTGTAAACGACTGAGACGGGCATTACTCCAGGTTTTCCTCCCTGATTAGGCAGACACTCAGTAATATAATTGGAATACTGGCCTTAACCCAGCTTCGATACATCGACCCAAGACCTGATTGCATTCTGGACCACATCCTAAAATCTATCATTTACAAAATAATTTCAACTTTACCCTTCAAAGAACTGAGCGCACAGAAAATGTGGTGTCCCATAGTTGATAAAATATATACAAACACCGTCGTGCCGAACTTTGATATGTCGAACTTATTTTTGTCTCGAAGGAAAGGCTTTGTCCCTTTGTGTTCTTTATTCAGTCATCATTTTTCGGTTGCGTCGAACCTCGGATACCTCGAAGTGTTCGCAGGTTCCTTCAACTTCGACACAACAGTGTTTGACCGTACTCGTAAATGTGTAAAAAATACTGCCCGTTAGATGTGGGTGTCGTTCACCTCCTCCCCGTGGCGATCAGATCCATCGTACACGACAACAATGTCGCCGTTGGTGTCGGGGATCTCCCTCGGAAGTAGTTCCGGCATGGACTCGATTACTTCACCGTTGCCTTCTGGGATACGTGCGTCATCCACGTCCTGGTGTGACGTCAGATGCGTGGTGCTGACTTCGCGTCGTTGTCGATCGTCGTGTCGCGACGGGTCCCTGATTAGACGGCGCCGGCAGTGGTTCCAGACGTTGAGGGGGTGGCCCATTGACACGACGGACAGAAGAAGGAGCAAGATGTTCACCTGAAAAGAAAAACAGGTTAGCACGGTTAATCAGAACTGTATTAAAGGTAGTCATCGAGTGTTCATTAAAATCTCTGTTTATTACCCAAACGATGCTTATATTCTTGTAACATAATTTCTTTTTGATGGGCTTGATTTGCGAATTTCGTTGAAAGAAGAAGTAGTGGTAGATATGGAACAGTTGTCGTGTGCAAAAGGGGAATTCCACTGTGACGTATTCAGGTCACGTGTTACCTCAGGTCTTTCAGCCTTATGGTGTTCTCGACAGCTGCCCCAAACCCGATATATCATCAACAGCGTGATCATGAGATCGCGATCGTGTACTAATGGGCATAATGGCCTAACTTCTCAAATTTGCTAATCTCGAACTGCAGACAACGTTATCATTTCTAGTCATGGAAACACAAAACGACGTCCATGTCGGCGCGCGAAAGAAAACACGTGTGCCTCCGGGAGGTTTTCACGGAAGTTCTGGCCAGTGACACGTCCGGGAATAACATATGAAGGTGTCCTGCCAGTCACAGTGATCCGACCCCATACCATTACTGAACCACCCCGAAAACGATCGTTCTGTCTAACGTTAACGGTATAAAAACACTCATTCGCTGTCAATCAATATTGTAAGCCTTGATTTATCCGAAAACATCACGTTTGCGACGATTGGTTCAGCGCTGCCGCTCTTTGCCAACGAGGTCTTTCAGTACTGGCGGTCCGTCAGTCGAGGGACAACACTTGGACGTCGGACATGCAGGTTCCATCTGTGTAGCCGACTTCGAATCGTCTGTCCACTCGTTCCAACCCCTGTACCCCTGTACCTCTGTGACGCTCATGTCCACTTTCAGAACGGGTTCGTAGCACATACGTTCTGATGAAACGGTCTTATGACCAGTTGTCGCCCCTGATCGCCAAGGTCGACGTCTGTCATCAAAGTTAATTGTTTGTTGCTATCCGGATTGTAATCGGCGTATTACTGACTTAGAACTTACAGCATGTAAATTTCACCAAGCCATTCCCAACGTGATAGAGGTAGAAAAACGTTTAATGGAGTTAATATCAATACAGTGGACTCTGTATAATCCGACATCTGAATTTTCCGACAATCTGTGAATTCCGACATAGTTTTTGGGTCCCGGCAGCGTTCTTCTATATTATCATCATTTAAACATTGAATAATCCGACATATGTACATTCCGAATTCCGACACCATTTTCTGATCCCATTGGCACTACTAATCTGTACAATCCGACATCCTCTCCCCATATTGGACTAAAACAACCAATCAACCTGTCAGATTCAGATTCAGATTCTTTATTCTCCATAGGACTACCAAAGGTGGTATAAGAGTGAATTACAAGGTATAATAATACAGTATGATGTGCAAGATGGCAGTACATATAATGGCTACAACAAACATGATAGTGAGAGGTTATGACACTCGTGTTGCAATAATATTTATAAATGTTGCAAGGGATTTCAGTTCCTTTCTTTTACTGGATGAAAAGAGTAATTTGAAAGAATGGAGGCTGACATTTTTGGTATATTTAATTGGTATAAGATTTTTTCTATGACTTTCAAGTGATGTACATCGAAAAATGTAATGAAATTCGTCTGCTATGGCTGATGAATTACAAAGGTTGCAGGTTCTATTTTCTTTTGGTGTATTGGTCCAGCGACCTTTTTCAATTTGAAGTTTATTATTTGTAGTTCTAAATTTAAGTAAAGGGTAAGAGTAGATTTTGGTAGATAAAGGTAATTTTCAAATATTGGTAATTTCTTGTAATATTTATAATAAAAGCCTTTTGAACTGTTAGTAACTGAACTGTTCCATGATTGAAAAAAACGATCACTGAGAATCGTGTCGATCATACTAACCAACCACTGTCTGTCATATAAGCTTGGCATCAGTAATACATATGAAAGACCACAGTTGTTTAATATTGATTCAATGTGGCTAACCCAAGGAGATTGATAGTTGGAAGATACATCTGATGTGATCAAAGTTAAAAGGTCACACGATAGTCTTTCCGTTCCTGACACTTGTTTATGCCAGTAGCTTATCATTGTTTTAGCTATCGGAATTGTTAATGGCCAGTTGACAACTAGCATCCTGTTACTGGTAATCTCTTTGGTGCCAGCACTTGCTAATTTGGAGGTAATTAGCAGTGTGAGAATGCTTGTCCCTTTGTTTTTACAAGCTGAGTGGCCAATGTGAGGACCTAGGTATGTTTTGTCAAGCATCGGATGAATGGGCTGAGAAAAGGGATCAATTAATTTGGTGAGATCAATTACCAATGAGTCAGTGGTGTCAACTTCAATTATAATATGACATTGGCCGAATAACTGTATGTGATATCATCAAGAGACAAGATATATATGTCAAGTTGTACGAGTCAAACATTGGCAGTGATAAGAAACGTTTTCATCTACAGTCTACTATGGAGAACATTTTCATGAAAGTTTGAATATGATTGTGATAGTAGTACATGTATGTATATTGTACTGAAGATAATAAATCCAATGATATACATGTATATATAAATACAGAATAATTTGTTTTTTCCCATATTTACCAAAAAATTAGCTATTAAGCATTAATTTCATGATATAAGCCAGTTACAATGTATGGTACTGTTTGAAAAGTATTCAAGCAAGGAGACATTGAGTTATCCGAATCTCTGTATAATCCGACATTTTCCCCGGTTCCAGTGAGCGTCGGATTATACAGAGTTCACTGTATCAAAACACCTTTGGTCTGTTTTTTATCATTGAAATGAACATGCAATATTCCATCAATACAGTGGTGGTCTGTACATAATCGAGTCTGGATCAGACAATCCAGTGATCAGCAGCATGAGCATCGATCTACGCTATTGGGATACGATGACGTGAATCAACCATTCAGCGAGTCTGACCACCCGATCCGTTAGTCGCCTCTTACGACAAGCATGGGTTACTGAAGATCAATTCCAACTCGGATCATCATGGGCATGAAATGTACAGTTACACACTGACACGTTTCCCTGTAAATTTCGAAATTTACCATGTTCACGTGCACATCATGAAAACGCTTACAAGAAATTCATGACACGTTGTGCATGGAATAATCAGTTTCGAAATCTATACAAAATCATACAATTTGGTCCCCAAATAAATGGAATAATAGAATATCCCCTACTTTTATTACAGTATATAGTGGACTTAACACTATAGTAAGAATACATTCAATAACATTTTCAATATGGCCGCCTTGTCGGCCATGCTTAAAATTTGTTCCGTAATCTATTTTGACACGCTTTCTTGCAATATTTACTAAAAGTCATCAGACGTGTGACTTCCTTCGTGTCAAAATAAACACATGTTGCACACTACTTTTGAAGCATCTTCAGACATTACGGCTTCCTGAAACTGTTTGTCGCAAAGATCAACGATCAATATACATGTATTTGCTTGGTGTTTGCACATAGGGTTTCGTCCGGTCGGCGAATTGAGTCTCCGACTTATCGCTGGACCCATACTCAATGTTGAAAGGGGTCTACTTTCGGTGGATTGTCATAACAATATCGACAGACGGGCGAAGCCTCACAGATGAAGCTGCTGACTGGCTTCCTGTCTCATACTTTCATAAACGGTAGATATAAATATTGCTGAAGTAAATAAAGTTAAAATTGGATTTGATAAAACAATAACAGACGTTATCAAAACTTTTACCGAAACACTGAACGCTTTAAAGGGTCCAAACGAACCGTGAAGATCCGAATTAGAATTGGACTTTAGTAACCCATTCTTGTCGTAAAAGGCGACTAACGGGATCGGGTGGTCAGGCTCGCTGACTTGGCTGACACATGCCATCGTGTCCCAATTGCGTACATCGATGTTGTTGATCACTGGATTGTCTGGTCAAGACTTTACAGTATTTACAGACCGCCGCTATACAGCTGGAATATTCCTGAGTGCGGCGTAAAACTAAATTCACTCACTCACACTCACTTTAGGAGATAACAACTTTGTTATTTGTATGAAATACATGCTTTAAATATTTGTTAAAATTGTACCCATATTATACGCACATGTCGTCAGTGCAATAACCTTTAACGTGACGTAATACACAGTTTCACCTCACAAGGCCAATTTTTTTGTTTTTGCGCTTTTTTGCGCTTTTTCGGAGTAAAACTATGTTTTGTTAAAAGGTGAAGATCCTTCTCAAAAAGCGATGGGAAGTTAATGTGAATTCCTTATCATATGTCAAAGCCTGAGGAACTATTTTAGATATAATACGATGTTCCATTTTGTAACACAGTACCTTCAAAAACATTTTTTGATATATGACTCAAGAAGAATTGATAGGGTTTCAAACTCGACACTGTGTAGCAAACTAAAATGTCACATGTACGTTTTCACAAATGTCTGTCATATTTTTGTAAAGAAAATCACAAGAAATAATTGATATCTTGTCAGTGGTAAACTGGAATTTGAGTGAGTGAGTGAGTTTAGTTTTACGCCGCACTCAGCAATATTCCAGCTATATGGCGGCGGTCTGTAAATAATCGAGTCTGGACGAGACTATCCATTGATCAATAGCATGAGCATTGATCTGCGCAATTGGGAACCGATGACATGTGTCAACCAAGCCAGCGAACCTTGACCACCCGATCCCGTTAGTCGCCTCTTACGACAATGGAATTTGATCAATCAAATCATTTTTCTTCAAACAGCCGTTGGATTTAGTGAGTGACTGACTATGAGTGAGTATGGTTTTACGCCGCTTTCAGTATCATTCCAGCAACATGACCCCAGTGGACACCAGGAATGAGATGTACACATTAAACTTATGTCTAAAACCGAACCCAGACCTTTGGTGTGATAAGCGAACGCTGTAACAACTAGACGATCTCATCGCCAAACTCTTGTACATTTACTCCTTTGGGTCCAGTCTACTTGGTGTCTGTATACCAAAGGGCGGAAAGGTACCCCAGTGGTTAAAGCGTTCGCTCGTCACGCCGTAGACCCGGTTTCGATTCCCCCACATGAGTACAATATGAAAAGCCCATTTCTGGTGTCCCCCGCCGTGATATTGCTGGAATATTGCTAAATTAAAACTCACTCACTCACTCTATATATCGAAGGGTTGACATTTACTAGTATTAGACAGCTCTACTCTCACGCTCTTTAAGGTGACTTGTATGTGTACCAATACTGACCCCAGTTTTGTGAAATGTCACATTAACTAAATTACAGCAAAACACATCTATAATAAACACAGGGACAGCTAACTTCTCTTCCGTATTACCGTAGCACGCTACAAGCATTTCCACTAAAATTTCAGAAATTGCCAGGACCAAAAGCAGTTTGTGTTTATCCGCGAAAATGTTATAAAAATCGTGTTTGTAATTGTCACTGTAATTGTGTGGAATCAAGACCTGCTAATGTCTGCCATTATGGGGATGGCATTGTCGCTTTCTTTTCGTTATAAAAGGTATTAAGATACAACATGATTCGATTGACAGATTCCTTTTATCAATATGCTTAATCTAAATAAAAACATATCTGCTCACGGTTTTCATATAACTTCCTACCCACGAAGATCCGGGTGAGAATTGATCTTCAGTAACCCATGCTTATATGAGGGGACTAACAGGATTGCTGACTTGGTTGACACATGTCATCGTATCCGAATTGCGTAGATCGATGCTCATGCTGTTGATCACTGGATTGTCTGGTCCAGACTTGGATATTAACAGACCGCCGCCATACGGCGGGAATATTGCTGAGTGCGGCGTAAATCTCACTCACTCACTCATATAACTTCCCACACTGATTGGAAGGGACGCATGTCCCACGGCACTCTTGGAACTAGAAATGCGATTTATCACATAATCCTAAACGCTATTTCTCCGAAGAGGAAAGATTAAAACAAACAGCCGTGCTACTAACTGTCTGATGAGATGTTCCACAGACATGCTGCAGTAAAATGATGGCCCATGCGTCTAGTAAGCTTTTACAACGTTATACGGACTTCCTGTCTAATGACACTACTTCCGGTTTGGGATGTCAAAACAGTGTTTTAAACGCTGTGGTGGCAGTGGTGTGGTCAGTTTTAGCTTAAGGTTTAGCATCCCCTGAATGACCAGTCTTATACCAGACGCATGAAACATCAATTATCGTAAACATCAACAATAAAACATCAATCTTTTCCATCTGCTGACAAAATCAGTATTGACGTTCCATCCTATCCTATTTCGGGCAATTTCACGTTTTATCGCGTGCTTCTCGTCAACAAAGACAGGAAACGAGAGTTGGTGGACTGGGGCTTAACAGCACCAGCCGGTACTAATTACAAGGACGTCTGTGTTTGTGGTTTGTTCGACATGAAGAAACCGATGTTATGTCAACATTGTATCTCAATCAAGAATTCCAACTACATTAATGCAAAGGGAATCCTTTGACTTTGACACGTACATCGTGGTGAGCACCTGGCCGCACTATACAAGGCTAGATGTTACTGAATCATCCGTGGGGTCGTTTAGTGGTCGGTTTGTGTCCGTCAATAGAACCATACCATCGTTATCAGTGATCATCCTTCCGGCTGAATCAATCTCAGTCTTGTCATACTCCACAGACAGACCAGGCTACAGGGTGTGCTTGGTTTACAGTGCACTGTCTATTGGTAAGCATGCATTTAGTTCATTAACAACTATAAACAATTCAAAACGGTACATTCCATTAAGCAGACTGTAACAAACTGAAATTGATCTGTTTTAAAATGATGGCGAACAATCGAATTAAAATATTTATTAAACGACATGACTACGTGTAATGAGACCTACACCTACTACCACAATATCTCTGTACAAGATATAACGGGATTCTGTACAACAAAGTCATTTTAATACCTCACCTTCAATGCGTCTGTACAGCAAGGACCAGTAAAAACCTTTCTTTCAGGACCATTTCATACCCCACCTTCAGTGTATCCGTCCAACAAGGCCCATTTAATACCTTACCTTCAATGAGCCTGTACAACAAGGATCATTTAAAACCTTACCTTCATGCGCGTGTACAACAAGGCCCATTTAATACCTTGCCTTCAATGTGTATGTACGTACAACAAGGCCAATTTAACATTATACCTGCAATGCGTCCGTACAAGGCCAATTTAATATCTTGCCTTCAATATGTTTGTACACCATATCCCATTTAATACATTCAATGTGTCTATAAAAACAAGGCCCATTTAATACCTTACCTTCAGTGTGTCAGTACAACGATGCCAAATTACCAGCTTACCTTCAGTGTGTCAATACAACGATGACAAGTTACCAGCTTACCTTCAGTGTGTCAGTACAACGATGACAAGTTACCAGCTTACCTTCAGTGTGTCAGTACAACGATGACAAGTTACCAGCTTACCTTCAGTGTGTCAGTACAACGATGACAAGTTACCAGCTTACCTTCAGTGTGTCAAGTACAACGATGACAAGTTACCGGCAAGTGTGTTACCATGACAAGTTACCAGCTTACCTTCAGTGTGTCAGTACAACGATGACAAGTTACCAGCTTACCTTCAGTGTGTCAGTACAACGATGACAAGTTACCAGCTTACCTTCAGTGTGTCAGTACAACGATGACAAGTTACCAGCTTACCTTCAGTGTGTCAGTACAACGATGACAAGTTACCAGCTTACCTTCAGTGTGTCAGTACAACGATGACAAGTTACCAGCTTACCTTCAGTGTGTCAGTACAACGATGACAAGTTACCAGCTTACCTGCAATGTGTCTGCGTATTTTTTAATGAGGAAGTTTCTCATGGGAAACTGGAAGGCTCCAATTATGGACGATACTGCCGTCATCACACCAAACAGTTTGCCGAAATGTTGCTGGGGAAAGTGCCTGAAACGTCAGTACACAAAAAACACATCAATTCTTGCCTGCTTTCCATCGACTCCCACCAACATCGATTCCTGGAAACCTTTACAATGCAGAAAAAATATCGTATTTATTCAAAGTATTCACGTTACTTACGCAATGAATGTTTACCTTCCTTACCGAACACAACTGGTCACATTCATTAAATACTGAAACCTATCCAGTCATGTCTTACTGAAGAAGTCTTCCTATCGTTTTCTATTTTGCTAATTTCTAATCTCACAAGCAACAGATAAACATAGCCCCGGGAAAGGTACAAAAACATGTTATTGCCAAGCAAATTGGTTTCCAGACGTGTGTATTGTCAGACAGATGCCCGTCTTCATCCTCATCATCGTTATCATCCCTCTGCACGTGCACCGATGACCTTCCAATACTCTTCATCTGTCCTCAATACCCCCAGTACCATCGAGCCAGATATCAGATGTTGTTTGCAGAGTGCTTTGGACATTGGCTCATTTTGTAAGAAAAAGCTTTTGAATAGAAACGGCTAAACTTAGAAACGAAGTAATTAAAATTGATTTCAGTATTCTTTGAAGCAGGCAGTTGGCTTCAGATTCAATTAGGTTGTAATTTCGATAATTAAAATCAATGGTATTCTACAGCCCCGAGTTCATTTATTTAAACATTGAAATGTTTTTTCAACACGAGAAGATTACATGGATTTTGAAGCTTGAAAAGAGAAAAATACCATTCAAGTTTTCAAATGACTAATCTCTTCGACTCAAGGACAAATCCATATCGAAAAAAAAGAGAGTGGAGTGATTATTTACGAGTAAGAACACTAGGCCTAGGAGATCCAGAGGGTGGGTACGGCAGCATCGCCATACCCTCCACAACCCCTGAAGCATCTTAAAGGGATGGTTCAATGATCGGGCGGATAAGATCTACAAAGCATTTGTAGAGCGCCTTGTATACACCTCAAACATGTTAGTGGCGCTCAGGACAGATTATGCGCAAACATTATTATATTACCCATGTTAACCCAAGCTGGATGTGAGGCTCTAGAAGGTTAACAGTCATAAGACCATTTTCTCCGACCGGGTACCCATTTCTGCTGGATGAATAGAAACACTTTGGAACAAACTTGCTTGGCTAAGGTGAGGCCACATGTATCACATGTGCTTCGTTGTGAGGCAGGACTGAATTCCTGGAAACTCTCAGGAGTCAAGCTGCAGAACACGGTCACCCATCCAAGGACACTAGGTGACCAACGTTGCTTAACTACACCTGATTTTCACTGATCTGAACTCTACGCACATTCACCACCACTGACAGTAGAATCAACATAAAAGAGTCCCATGTTCCCCCTACCTTGTCATTCTCCTGAATCTATAATAATAATTCCCCTTGTCACGTTTATTTGTCAACTAACAACTAAATGTTGTAGAAACTCTTGCACAAAGGGACATTAAGTGTATTTTGTAGGAGATGGTGTAAAACATAACTGCTAGTACAAATCTGTTACTACAAATTGTCAAATCGCAATGTGCACCAAAGCCCTTTCAGATTGCCTTAAGAGAGATTCCGGTCTAATTATGCTGTCGAGGTCTCATTCACTTTGTGTCATGGCCGATAACAGAATAATTCCTCGCTGACCTGGACTGAAGGGGTCGACTGCCAGGGTCGAGGGGTACGGAACAGTCGGGAGGATGTCAACGTCGTCAATAACTAACGGTGCTACTGGAGCAGGTGTTGTCAATGGGGTGAGTGAGTAAGTTCAAATTTCACTGCGCATCGCCATTAATTCAGCCATTTAGCGACGACACCAAGTCATACTCAGGTCCATTTTAATTAAAAATTATAAAAGAGTTTCTTAAAATACATATGTTTTCATTACAGTATTATTTACAAATAGAAAATGTCATAACCTCAAATTTAAGAAACAGACAGTTTGTCACACACATACATAGTTACAATATATAAAACAGACAAGTTTCTCTTAAGTAGTTCATGATGTACTTTCAGATTTACTGATAATATTGTCCCTCGGACCTGTGGAAATGTCATGAGAGTGTTTAAGTGAATTGGATTTTACGCCGCTTTTAGTAATATTCCAGCAAGACTGACTGACTGACTGAGTTTGGTTTTAGGCCGCTTTTAGCAATATTCCAGCAATATCACGGCGGGGGACACCAGAAGTGGGCTTCACTCATTGTACCCATGTGGCGATTCGAACCTGGGTCTTCGGCGTGACGAGCCAACGCTTTAACCACTAGACTACCCCACTGCCCCTTTCCAGCAAGATCACGGTGGGGGACACCGGGGAGTCGCACCCGGGCCCTCGGCGTGACAAGCGAACGCGTTAACTACTGGGCCACCCCGCCGCCCCTGTGAGCCTCAAGAACTGCACGGACTAGATACTGTAACTGTCAGTTTATTATTGGCTTGTGTATATTGATCATTGAGACAAGATAAAGATGGATAAATCAATCGGTGGTTTAATGAGACCATAGTCATGGGTTTGTGTTACCCTCACGTCACTACATGCCTTCGCTTTCAGTGGAGATCTGGAAATGCATACAGCTGTAGAGAAGGTTTGATGTGTTCGTTAGCTGTCGTTCAAAATATACGACCCTTCCAGTCTGAGGCAGTGGGGTAGAGGTTGAGCATTTTCCTTCATCAAGAGTAGTATGATCCCCAGGGAGTTGAGATTGATAATAAGATTTGCCGTTGAGATTGACATCCAATGATCGAGGGAAATATACCAGAGCATGCACTAGTGCGTGGATATGTGGTCTATATAAACATCCAATAATAATAATAATTATTATTATTGGTGGCGATGGGAGTAAACCAGGTGAAGTCCTTCACTAAGTCTGCCCAGAGTCGGTCATTTGTGGAGAAGCTTTCTGAGAAGCCATTGCATCGTGTGTACATGCAGTGTGTGGAAGAGAATAGCAATCCCACCGACACCTTCGCCTGGATGAAGTCGGCTGGTCTTAAATGTGAAACTGAGGGCTTCCTTTTTGCTGCTCAGGACCAGTCACTTCCCACTCGTAATCGCCAAAATGTGATTCCTAAAGAAAATATCAATATGAAATGTCGACTATGTAATGAATTTACAGAGACTGTCCAACATCTTGTCAGTGGATGCCCTTCTTTGGCACAAACAGCATATCTTAAACGACATGATGGCATGGCTCGTTGCTTTTACTACCGTCTCCGACATGTCTGTGGCTTTGACTCCGAGGTCCATCCATGGTACGACCCTGAACATGTCCAGGGCGTCATGGAAAATGATGCTTTCAAACTTCTGTGGAATAGGCCCATATACAGCCTCAGAAGAATTCCTGCCAACAAACCTGATCTTGTTCTTTTTGATAAAGCCAATGAATTGATTTATATCATTGAATTTTCTGTCCCTTTTGACAGCAATGTGATTGGCAAGATTCAGGAAAAGCATGATAAATATGCGGACCTCGCATTGAAATGTCTCGCTTGCATCCTAAGTACACTGTCGTCAGGCTCCCCATTGTTCTCGGCGCCCTTGGTTTGGTACCTCCTGATCTCTTGGCGCAGATCAGAAGAGTGCCCGGGTTCTCCACCGGGAGCACAGCCCTTCTGACACTCTGGGTAATGCAGAAGGCTGCAGTGTTGGGGAGCCTTCATATTCTCCAGTAAGTTCTTGGTGGGTTCGACTAGGCAGTGTTTCCTGGGAGAAGTCCCATTCGCTGTCTGGGCTGCGTGTAGAGGGGGCAAGGGCCCTGGTCTGATGATGAGCCTTACCAGCCTGACTGTGCCAGGATCACCCGAACCCTCTCTGCTGCATACTATTTTTAATCTGTAAAACATCTTAATAATCTGTGAGACACATTTCTGGTGCTTGATTATTTCCTGTCTTAGTAAAACCCAATCTCCTCGTTCATTCCTTTGCACCATCAGTTGATTCAGAGGACAATCACAACCGTGTCACAATCTGATTAGTTTGTTTGTTATTTAACGCCGTAATCAGCAGTATTTCGGCTATATGGCGGCGGTCTGTAAATGATCGATTCTCGGCCAGACGATCCAGTGACCAACAGTATGAGCTACGATCTACGCAATTGGGATACGATGACATGTGTCAACCAAATCAAGTCAAAACATTGATTACACAACAGTCTCGTTTCCTTCTGACTGGGTTTCGTCCTATTGCGCAACTTAGTACATTAATCAGTCCAGAATTTTGAGACCAATTCATTCAACTGGATACATAATATACTATTCCAAACAAGAAACGCATAAGCCAGAAATTTGTTGCGAAAATGTATTTTCAAACATGTATAACTCGTCCACAAATAGACTTTAACACATGAGTTTTTACATCAGTTTAGAAGAAGGTAATGTCTATAAAACCAGATAACGGAGACGTTGAGCGCGATAGTGACCACGTAGCATGGTCCCGACGTCGGGTCTCCTGGCTCTCAGTCCAAACTCTCTCAGCCTGCTCCGTACAGTTTGACCGGATATCCTCCGAAATCCAGGCACCCTGGCTGATGTGCTCTCACCCGTGGCAGTACGATCACGCAAATGTAGTACCCGGATGTACCGACCTTGGGCTGCAGTGGTGACTCGGCGTCTGCCTGTACGGACACGGTCATCTGTTATACCTGTTTGGTTGTAACGAGCTGCAAGCAGTGATATCGTGTTCAGACTAACATCCAGACGCCTGGCAACAGAAAATTGGTAATCTCCAGCGTGCATTCTTTCAATGGCGATGTTCCGTGTCGCAGCGTCAAGACGTGGCGTAGTGATTTGACCTTGAAACTCCTTCAAAACGAATGCCGATTTCCGAAAGTAATCTGGATTTTTATAGCCAGACAGTGCATGCTCTTTGCTGCACAATTTCAACTGGAAGGTGATTTCTGTTGCGTTGTGGCGATGCCTTTTTAATTCTTGTAAGAAATCTCATCAAAATCAACATTTTCAGGTAAAGCCGATTTATCACTTGTGCAATAGTGTAAAATCATGTTATCAACACTATTGTTACATATTTTAACGATTGTTTGAACACAAATGGTAATTATTAGATTTTAAAATATACAAAACGCATATGCGTTTCTTTTTTGGGATAGTATTTTAGTCAGTATTATTTGATAAATCTAACCACTTGTATATTGCAACACCACGCTCCTTCTAATCCTTGCAAACACGTCGTGCAGCGTGCTCTGTCGTACAACGTGCTCTGACAAACGGAAATCTGGAAATCGTGGAAATCTCAAAAGGAGGCTCTGCCGCTAGAAAAGATTGGCGGTCTGGTACGGACTTGATATTATATCAATCACATTTGTGCGTTACAAAACTACACTGAATAAGCGCAAAAAACACATAACAGGTGTAACCAGTGAGCGACGACTTCATCAAACTGGGGCAGTCTGTGACGTGAGTTAGTGAGTTAGTTGAGTTTTACGCCGCACTCAGCAATATTCCAGCTATATGGCGGCGGTCTGTAAATAATCGAGTCTGGACCAGACAATCCAGTGATCAACAGCATGAGCATCGATCTGCGCAATTGGGAACCGATGACATGTGTCAACCAAGTCAGCGAGCCTGACCACCCGATCCCGTTAGTCGCCTTTTACGACAAGCATAGTCGCCTTTTATAGCAAGCATGGGTTGCTGAAGGGCTATTCTACCCCGGACCTTCACGGGTCCAGTCTGTGATGTCTCAGTCAAGGTCATGCTGTCTACACATCGCAATAAAATATAGAAATACGATGTTTTTAAAGTTTAAAATTAAAATTCATTTGTAAATACCATTTTCATTTGAAACAAGGAATTGGAATTCAGTGTAACCATAGTTGTTTGTGGTGTCTATGTTTACTTTCACACGAGAAAATTCGGATCGGCTGAAAAGTGGGTCATTGTCTGAATACGTTAATGAGACTCATGTTTCGGTTTGAGCGAGTCTGACCACCCGATCCCGTTTGTCGCCTCTTACGACAAGCATGGGTTACTGAAGACCAGTAAACAACATAGAAACAAACACCACTCATCGGGCGGTTTGTGGACTGGATCCGAACTGAGCGATATTACTGCCTGAATTCACAACTTCATTTGAAACCTCTGATTCTAAGTACTTACACATGCATGAGGAAAGCACACGTGGTCGTGAGGAGAAACACACGGTGAAGGAGGTTGAAGAA